ACCAAATGTCCCTCCATGCTGGATGCTAAACCTCTTGTTGAATATTTTCTTTTTAAAAAACTTACTGTTATTCTTTAATTTTTTAAAATTGCTTTTAGTTGCTTACCAACTTATTTCATGCAATAAGACTCAAGAATACAAATATTTATTTTTCCTCTTAAAATAATATTCATACCCAATGTGACATCTGGAATTTAGCATGAGAGGATTAAAAAAAAAAAAAAACTGCATCTTATTTGCTGATACTGTGTCAGTAGATAGTGAGATATTCCAGCAGGTGGTTTGAATTTTTGATACAAATAACTGACCGATTCTCAAATGAGAGGGTTTTTTACCTGATTATTCACTGTCAAAAGGATCTGCTATGTGTAATTGCAGCTGTTTCTACAGTACTGTAGAAATACAGCATTGAAAAATGTGTTGGTGAGGTTGTCTTGGCTCTTTTGGGGAAGAACGTAGCCCTTACATTTTGAGATTTATCTCAATATACAGAATTATGCAGAAAAGGTTAGGATATAATTATGTGATCATCTTTCCATAGCATTTCTGGTTTGATTTCTTCCTATCAGCAGTCTGGAGTCCTCTTCATTAAAGCCGCATGTACAGTAAGAGCAGTAGTTCTGGTTCAATGTTATTCATATTAATATGAATGAATATAAGAATATGAACATGAACATATTCGTATGTTGTAGGCATATGATGGACATAGAGGAAATTACTTTCTAGATAACCTTCCCCCTACTGTATTAGTTGTCGTGAAGCAAAGGGAGATGCTTGTCATGTCTATAATGAAAAGAAGAAAGCAGTGAACGGAGATGTCCTAATTTCTGAGAGTCCGTGATGCTTTAGCACTTTGAACTCCTTGCACCGTGACAGTGAGAGGGCTGCAGCAGAAGCTTGGGAAGATCATGGAGAGATCTTACTGCTGTGTGGGTGGAAATTGTTCATTGCTGCGAAGGCATCAGCTTTAAGCATCTGCCTTGTCTTATGGCTCTTCTGTAATGCGATCTTAAATCTTCTCCCCTAGAAGCACTTAGACTCCCTTGCACAGAGAGGTTGTTCATGGCTGAGTGACAGAAGAACCATGATTCTCTTTGCTCTGGGATGTAAATATGAGTGTCCCAAACACTCCCATATGATCTTTTCCTCAGTCTGTTCCTTTGCAGAGCCAGGTGACCTCTTCCACTACATTGTTATTTCAAACCAGAAACAGATTAATCTTGAGCATTTACACTTCTTGATCAAAGCTTGAAACTTACCTTCTGAACAAGGACTGGGAGTATCATTAAACAACCTGCAAAAGTCTTATATACTCCAAGGGTTTTTCAGCCCTCTGACCACCTAATTTGGATGACGAGGTGGTGCATAATTTTGAGGAGTGGGAGGAAAGGTCTGGAGGGAAGTATGCATGGTATACTGAGCTCTCCAAACTGCTCAGAGATGACAAAAGCTTTGGAGACAAGGCTTAGTGGGCCCTGACTCTTTTAGTGGGCTGTTTGGGAGTAGAGAAAGCATCAGACTTTTTTCCTCAGAACCCAGGAAGGGAAATAAACCCAGAGGGAAGGTGATTCCATAGGCCCTCAGAAGTTTACTGCTGCTTGAGCCTCCTTCCACCCTACTTGCTGCATTCCCAGCAGCAGTGGTGGGCATGCGGCCAGGCAGCACCTTGTGCTGCTTCACTTCAAGTCTCCTCCCTTGCTGTTTGTGGTGACATGACCTCCCACGCTTCTCAGCCCAGTGACCAAGTCTCACTCCCTGACACACTCATGTTCTACAATTCATTTAAGTAGGGTCATATACCAGCAAGGGAAATATTTTCAACCCATTTAGGGGAGGCCTGGGCTGCCCTCGTTGCTCCAGAGAGCAACACATTTGTTCCAGTAGTAGCTCCAGGGTAAGAAAGGCGCCACTGACAGTTTCTTAGGAGTAGGGAGGAGGAAAGCTAAATCATTAAAATCCATCAACCTCAAATGACTGTCACCACCTTGTAAGAGAGCCATCTGTCAGGAGTGTGGAGGTGGTGGCATAAGGAAGAAGAGAGGTGAGCAGTTGACACCAGGACAGTAGCTGGGCATGGGCTAGTACTGATAACAGTAAAGAAAGTGGGAGTGGAGGCATGTGATGGCGAGAGTTGGCATTGCCACATAGAGCCAAAAGATGAAATTGCTGCTACTTTGAGATGAGTGAGGCCTCCAGAACTAGCTCCTGACATTGCTTGTTGATCATTTACAGCAGATGCTTCTTGGCAGCAGTGTCATTAAAGTTGATAATAAATTCAGTGTATATTACATATACAGGAAAATAGATGTAAACTACAGCACTTCCAGGCTTAAGTGTCTTCATGGATTGTACTTTCTGCCCTGATCAAGGCCTGAAATATGTATATATATTTACTAATATTTCTTAAAATTTAAATAGTAAGTAGAGAAGCTTTTTTCAGCATACTCAGGGAAAATTTAGGGAGAGCTAATGCTAGCCATAATCTAGTATATATTCTTTCCTGGAATACAGGTGCAGATTTAAAACAAGGCTACAAAATGTAACTGGAGTCACAGTGCATTTGCAAGGGACTGCTTCATTAATTTGCCTTCAAGATAAATTAAGTCAGTTTATTTAAATTGCTCACTGTATTCCACACCACGTTAAGGCTTCTGGAACTGTGAGGATGATTGTGATAGAGGGAGCTGACAGGTACAATACACAGGAGAACTGTCTATTAAAACGGTGTATGGAGCTACACAAAGAAAAAGGAATTATATCTAAAGCTGAAACTTCCCCTTCTGCTGTAAGACGTGTTTTAGAAATGTTCCACAGCTTTTATTAAAGGTATACAAAACTACTGAATTATCAAACCTCAAATTACTCATTCAGAAAAGCTTAATTAAAATTAATGTAATTGAGACTATATTCCCTCTGCTACCTATACCCGTACAGCATCATAAATGATGTTGGAATAGTTATACCCAAGCTACCACATTGGAAACAGCTTTATAGCACCTCAACGCATAATACCAGCAAAGAACTGTTTTGTATTTGTCCTGTTTTTCATCATATTCTTTCTTTAGGAGTCTGCCAAGCTTAGAGGCAGCTTATTGGGCTAAATAGACCTTTATTCTGAGCCAGTATTTTTTTTTTTAGTGTTCTTTTTGTATTTACATAGTAGTTTACATTTTCCAAACACTTTCCCATCATTAACTCCTTAGGCCCCTTGAATTTCATTAGTAAATTAAATGCATTCAGCAGTGTTGCCAGGAGCTGAAACTGGCTGGCACAAACAGTCCCTTTCTGTGCTAGAAAACCCTTAAATTACAAGATGCCAGCCGATCTGTTGGTAACAGTTTCTAGACTGCTTAAATGCCCAGGAGCGTCTGTGCCCAGGAATTAGTTGGGTAGGTGACAGGGCGAGCAGTATGCCAGCAGCAGTCTGGCTTTTCAGCAGGGGGTTGACTAGGGATGACCGCACCGTAGCACATGAGATTGTCCCCCGCCACTCCCCAGATCCCAGTGTAGCCGCCCTGTAGCATCCCCAAGAGGAACTGGCAATGCCGCTTGGGAAACAGCATCCATTCATGGACTTGCCCCCAAAACAGCAACCTTGGATGGGTTATCTGGGTTCTCTTTGATGAAGGTACCAGCCTGCAGCTGCACACAGTTAGCTTAGGTATCTGTTGATCTACTCACAGAAACAAAAGCCCTTTGCCAGAGTTGTGTGCTCACTTCCACATCCTGAGTTTGCTTCTGAGTAACACAAGCAGTGGTGTATCTGCACTGTAGTCTTGGTATGCCAAATCTAGTTGTAAATTACGAATTATCCAATGTACTGGTACTGATGGCAGGAGTTCCGACACAGTAGTTGCAGCCTCACTTTCAGTGAGTTTTATCTTCTTTCTTGTTGTAAATGGGGTTTGCCCAAGGCCACCCTTAGCAAAGCCAGGGACAAGATTGGAATAAGCACACCTTCCTCAGTCTGGTTGCATGGAAGAGACAGATGCAAATGCAGTTTCCTGGCCAGATTTGGTCCAAGACAACTCCTCCTTTTCAGTTTTGTCTAGTGTTCACTTTTTAGACTACAGACCAGTTACTGTGCCTTGCTGTGGAGATAATTAGAATTTGATGCTGAATAACATTCAAGTAGCCGGTACTGAGCCTCCCGAGTGCTGAGAGGCTTGTAGAAGTTCTGGTGTGGTGTGACTAGTTTGGTGTGCAGCCCACCACAACCCTGCATTGTGCCAGGAGGTTTTTGCAAGCTGTGGTTAAACTATTCAGTGGGGACTTGTGTTGGTGTTCTTATTTGTTAACTGCTTGAGAAGGCTGCAGCAACAATCACGCCACACTCTGTGTTCCTTGCTGGGTCCCATTCCCCACTGTGCTGCTGGAGCCCACTGGCTCCCTGCCATTTTGGAGGTGGGAACATGGGAACTCACCTGGCTGGGTGAGATGGCTTCTCACCAGGAATTCTTTACATCTCAGAGCATGATCAGGATCTGCTTGGGTGGAAAGCGCAAAAAATTCATTTTTTTTTTTTCTAAAGTTTTTTATTAGCAGTAGCTGAGAGTCATCTGCTTTTTCCTGCACAGAGCTCTTCTCTTGGGGCTGCCTGCACGCAGCCTGGCTGGTGCATCAGGCAGACAAGGAGGAGTTTCAGGTTCTTATCTCTCTCGCACTGCCTGCGGTGTGAAAGGCTGCGGTGTGAAAGGCTGCGGTGTTTTCAGTTGACACTGCGGCAGTCACTGATGTCCTTTCAAGTGCTCTTGAGTTCGGTGCCTTTGAACAAAAAGAAAGTAACACTTTAGGACTTAGTGATTTCCTTTTGGATGACTGATTGTCAAGGTCTGAGGGCTTCTGCTCCATGAAGCAGAGTTTCTAACTACTTTTTTTTTTCCCCTCCTCTGTTCTTTTCACCAATGAGTATAATCTTCTAGTTCAACTTAAAGTCTTTATGAGTCTGATTATTTCTAAGATGTAAAGCTGATCTGTTATTTTAATATTTCCCCCTACAGCTGACCTAAACAACGTCAGGTTCTCAGCGTACAGGACTGCCATGAAACTCCGCAGGCTGCAGAAAGCCCTCTGCTGTAAGTATGTGCGAGTGCCTCACCCACTGCCAGGGAGACTTTATAGCCAACACACAAGTTTATTTGCAACTCTCAGAAGAAAAACACCCCCATGCATACCCCCAGCTCTACCTGGTGCATGGAAACTTCTCACCTGAAGGGTCTTCTGCTGACACCAGTTTGCACATTCCTTACGAAACCAAGGTGCTAGGTGGTCTGCAGATCTGTCCCTTGTAAGACAGAGCAGTGGATCAGATACAAAGGTCACATCTCCTACATATTTCTTATCTTTATGCTTTTTAGCCGGGTATTTTTACTGAGCTCATTACTGGAGCCACATCCTGTGTCAGCCACAGCTTTACAGCTCAAGACCAAAGGAACAGGATTGCAGTGTGTGTGGAACAGTGAGAATTTGGGTGAAATAATTGCTCCAGAGCTGGCGTTGCTAATGATTTGTTAAGTTGAATCTTGAACCCTGAGGGGTTGTTGCCTTTAAACGAGATCATTACAATAAACATTTAGCTTCATTTCTCCCCAGCTTTTGGTTATGTTCAGAAATCTCTCATCAGCCATATATTAGTGATGTGCATGTTCTAACATTTAATTCTCTCAAGTGGTATATGGTATTCTACCTATCACTGGAGTTAAAGTTTCCTCTTCAGATTATTGTAACCTGAAAGCTGAGTAGTTTGCTCATAGTTTTCTTGGAAGGCCTATCAGTTGCCAAAGCATGCAGTTTATTAGGCAGCACAATTTAGAGGGTCATTAAAATATTTTAGCATTCACTATTCAACATTTAATTACAGGGTTAAATTTCTGACACAGTTGCAAATCTATCAACTGTTGATTTATCTCAAGTTTGGATTTGTGCTCACATGCTTTCTGGAACTGTGTCAAACCTCAGTATTTTTGAGCATGTTTACTTTTAGGCTTATAAGCATGGGTGAATTCCACCAATGAACAGACTTAATTTCTGAATGTATAAAAAAAACAGAGAAGAAAAAGAAAAAAAGGAAAAAAATATACTGTAAGTGAAAAGTCTTGTAGCATCATGAAAGATATCATCATGTATGCAGTGACAAGAATGAATTACGATAATCAGAAATACAAACATCTTTCCACGGCACAGCACTCCTGCCACACTCATTGTGGAAAGGTAACGTAAAGAAGCTGGAGTGATGCAGTGAAAAGTATTAGCAATCAGTGCAGCACTGAAGAAAGGAACTAAAATTTTTGGAATTACAAGTTTCTCTAGCTGACAGTACACAAGCGTAACTTGGGGGTTTTATGCCTGAAAATGCAAAAGTTTACATCCTGTTTTATCTCTATTATCCTGATTCCTTCCCCTCAGTAATTCTAGACTCATCTTGGACTTTACAGTGTGGAATTGTAATTATGCACTGAAGTCAGTTCATCTCTCGAGGTTACACTTAGGTAGTTTTTCTGAGAATGGATGTTTTCAGAGACAGGCAGTGGCACTTACACTGATTACTTTAGCACATTCTTCATACTTGTATCTAAGGAGAAGTATTTAAGGAATTTGGTTAGCAGTCTTTGTTCTTAAGAATATTTTTGCTTGGAGACACAATCATTGCATTTGTGTATTCTATGATTTCAGTGTTGCTTGTGAATTCAGTTTAATTAGATTTAAAAAAAGCCAAACAAACCAAACAACTCATTACAAAATTCTTTTCCTGCAGTTTGACACTAGTAGAAATAGATGACAGTGCTGGGTTTCAGGGCTTCTACACATAGCCAAAAATCCCTAAATTCTCCATGCAGTAGGTAGGTGCTGCTTTCAGCTCTTACTTTTTATTTCAGTTTTTAAAATTGCAGGGGTTTAAATATATATATATGTATATTCTTTTCTGCAAACTTCATAAAAAGCAGAGCAGTTTTATCTACTGAAGAGCACTCTAAAGATGTGTGCACAATAGAAGGCCTACAGAAGTGAAGGTACAGCCTATTTCTCAGTGTCAAGAATAGAAACACTTTTAAAAATTAACTGTACTTAGACTTTAGTTGTCTTCAGTTTGTAAATAAGTCCAATGAACATTAAGACACTAGGGTATTAAACCTAAAGATGAATATTGAAAATGGTAATCCTTTACAAATAAATGCTTGTGTATTGTGTTACCTTAGAAGGATCTAGTGTGTGGCTCTATCATCCCAACCTCCAAAATTATTGTGGGCATGCCAGGTGCAACTATTGCACCATATTATTTTTTTAATGTATGATTTCCTTTGATAATCACATCAAAGCGTGTTGACTTTCTTGTTTTGCTACTTTTAAAAGATCTGATCTTCAAGTGCAAACCACATCTGAACATTGTGATGTCAATAAAATGAAATGTATTCACAAACTTTTCTTGGAGATGCAGCAAAAGAAAATATTCAAGAACTTATTTTAGAGTCCTGGTTTTCTTTAATTTTATCCATGCTAGGTTAAATTCATTTTTATTAAATATCAGCCAAGAGCAGCAGGTTATAGAGGAGATGATCTTGCGTTCTGAGAACACCGCTAATGCTTTTTATCACCAGCCATATGTTGAGTTTTCCCTAAGTTCAGTTCATGTGAGCTCCACAGCATGTTTTCTCTGGCCTGTTGATTGTCACTTCTTACCTTTAGTTGGTTAGATATTCCAGGTCGCCTTTTATACTTTTCCTGCAATCTGGACACAGGTTGGTGTCTGGTAACAAACATCCTAACATTTTCTCTTGCATTAGTGGCCAAATAAGTATTTACATAGATAGCTTAGATTTCAAAATAAGCTGGAAGCTATTGCTCACACAAGTTCTGGAGTCAGTTTTGGTATCTTAAATAGAAAAGAATGAGAGTGTCAGAGAACCCACAAGAAGTACAAAGTTTAAAGTGGCATGGTTTATTTCATTTAAAGCTTTGCAAATCACTGAATGGCGATAAATATACAACTCCTCAATATTTGTCTGACTGTTGGGGCTGGTCTTTTGAAAGTCTGTCATCCATGGGACCTCCATATTTGCATTGAGGAAAGAAATATGTGATTCCTGGTTCTGGGAGAGGATTCCCCCCCACCCCATTCCTTTAATCTTGGTGGGAAAAGTGCAGGAGGAGCTTAATGTGGCAAAGGCCAGAGCCACTCTTCTTCCCCTAAAAAGAAGTTGCCTGAAGCAGAGCATGGTGGCAAGCACTTTTTGCTTGTTATGAGGTGAACATGTGTTATTAACTTCAAGATAGGACAGGAGGTTGATGAAGAGTGGGGTGAAGGGCTTTTCAGAACTTGCTGCTTATTAGTAGGAAAAGCTTTCACAAGGTGGAATGACCCCTGTTTAGCAGTAGCTGCATATATAATTAAGCTGCAACTCAGATGCCTGAGGGGTTCATTTAATTACCGTTGATGCATAGTCTCAAAGGAACAGAGAGTTCAGCCTAAAGCTTGGAGTTAAAGGTGTTGTGAAGGCAGTGCTCTGTTTCCAGTTTGACTAATGAATTATTAGAAAAAAAGCATCATTCTGAGGAATGGGTCTGATAAATACGCTTTTGTGGGATATAACACTGACCTTAGAATAGCTGTATTTTATATGCTAGTAGGTTAAACATATTATTCCAAAGGATTTTCTTTTAATAAATTTCCATATGCTAATGTGAAAAAAGTAAAATTCCAGTAAGACCCTGCACAAAACCACAGCTTCAAAGTTAAATTTCGTGGTATAATAATGGGGATAATATTCTAATCTTTCCTTATTCACTAGCGCTGGGTATGTCAGGCCCACAACATGAAATTTTAAGGAGTACTTAAGGGATTTAGTAGCAGAAGTCCCTATTGATTTCCAATGAAATTTATACTCCTGAAATTCTTTTGGCAATTATGAAATCCCAACGTACTGTCCATGCAGCATTACCAAGCATCCCTGTGTGCAGCTAAGGTATTTTTCATCTCTGCTAGAACATCAAAGGGTCAGTTTCATCCTTTGTAAAGTAAGATACTCAAGTCTGAATTTGGCAAATGTGCCCTTAGGCTGCATCAAGTTCTAAAAAAATTCTTGTATGGGGTTCTGCATTTAGCCTCTCCACTTCCCCCCCCCCCCGTCTTCTTTTCGCCCCCCCCCCCCCCCCCCCCCCCCCTACATTACCAAGAGATGTTGCTTATCAGGACTCAATAAAGCACATTTTTATCAATGAGAAAAACTGATCTTGCAGTTGGGTCAGTTCATTTCCCAGTTTTATGAAGAATATCCTGCATGATTTTGGGCAGTTCATTTTGGGCCAGGTGTTACTCCCTTGAATCATGTTGAATCGTGCTGCACTTTGTGACTGTGCATGGTATTAGCAGGACTAACAGCATCTGGGCTTTAATATAGCTATTGCTCATGCCCTGAAAATTCACTGCAAGCAACTACAGAGGTTTTTCATGTGGCAGCAGAAAGATCTGTGTCAACAGTCTCATTTTTTTGATTTCTTTTGTTCTTATTCCTGCTTTACTTTGTAAACCAACATCCCATAACTCTCTGATTTGGTGTTCCTCAGAATGTGATACTACTGTTGATGTTAGTGTTGATTTTAGTCTCTGTTAGCAAAGACTAAGAGCTGAGGCAGGGAGGTTCTGTTTTGCCTTGGACATCCAAATTTCAAAATGCAACTGATTTAAATTGGAATGAAAATCAAGTTTTTGAATGTCCATGACAAAAAACCTCTTATTATTTCTTGACTGATAAGTTTAAATGTGTCTTAATACATAATACCATATTTATAAATGTAAATGCTCTGCAGAATTAAAAATTGATAAATTTCATTAATAAATATTGAAAGAGGTAATTTAATGTTTCTGGAACCTTCTGTTCTCTCTTCTTACAAGAGGAAAATTAACAGAGAGGTTAATCCCAGTTCAGCTGTGGTTTGTTTGCATATTTCTTGGGGAGTTTGGTTTGGTTAAGATTGCTTGACTTCTGTAAGAAATGAACAGCACGTCTTGGTAAAGCTGATGACATGTACTATGTTCAGAGCACATTTGGTGAATGCAGTGGTCAAATATTAACCTATCTGTAGGAACATAAAACATGAAATTTTTGCTTACATTATAATTTTTGTGTGATATTTCCATCAGATCCAATAGCATAATAGGTACTGTACAGTTAAAAATGAGCCAGATTTCACTTTTATAAAAACACTGCCCTCTTAGACCACAGCTGAATAAACATTGCACCTGTAGAAGTCTTGAAATCAATCTTGCATGTGACTTTTAGAGGACATAAAATATCCCTATATCCCCTGGCCAGGCAATTTCTGGCCAAGTGAATTGTTCTCTTTAGTTTTGGGGTATGGGTAATAGAACCACTGTTTCTCTTCAATCTTTATTGTGTTTTTTATTTTAACAGTGGATCTTCTGAGTCTGTCTGCTGCATGTGATGCCTTGGACCAGCACAACCTCAAACAAAACGACCAGCCGATGGATATTCTGCAGATTATTAACTGCTTGACCACCATTTACGATCGACTGGAACAAGAGCACAATAACCTGGTCAACGTTCCTCTCTGCGTGGACATGTGCCTCAACTGGCTGCTGAATGTCTACGACACGTATGTATGGGTGCTCTGAGCGTGGGGTGCTCAGGAGCTTTCTCAACAGCACAAGGAGAAGGGAGAAAGGGTGGTGAGCCCTCTGCCTCATTATAAAATGAATTACTTGAAACTTGAAAGTTTAATAAACCTAATGGTTTAATGGCTGCATTTAGCTGAATCAATACAGCCCTTGGTAAGGCTTACAGTCCTAGGTTTATTAGGCTAAACAATGAGAGAGCTGGAAAACAGAACTTTTTTAACAGACTTCTGTGTTCAGAGCAGTTCTGGGACTACATGTCCTCAGTAGGTCACTGCTTTGCTTGGCTTTTTTTAATTTATTTAGATAAAGAAATTAAAGAGAAATATCAAGAAGTATGTGTTAATGGTATTGCTCATAACACATAGACAAATTCCAGCACACACAAATTCCACACACAATATTTTTCTAATTTTAGAATAAGCTATTATTTTTGTATTTGGTGATTTTAGTGAAAAAAAAAAATGACTGTAAGTCTTTATTTGTGTTTTTATCAGCCACTTAAGAGCCAGGTTTTATGTCTTTAATCTACTTTGGCTTCCGGAGAGCTCTGATCCACTTCTGAATTATCATCAACTATAAATAGCATATAAATGAAGATACCCAGCTAGTGAAAAACAAAAAAAAAAGATGTGCTAGGGATGCTAATCCAGATCAGCCACATTAGAGGCAGAGAGGGAAATAAAGGTCATTCCACATGCTGCTCCTAAGCTGGACCATCCAGTTTGATTTGCCATGTCCAGTCTAGTTTTCTTTATGTTGCACTGTGCTGAAAGAACAACATTAGAAATTAAAATTGGCTGCCTCCAGGCAATTCCCTAGGTATGCTGGGGAACTGTATATTGCAGGACACAATGAAACAGAGAAGTGTTTTATGTGTGAGGAAAGCTCATAGCTATTTTGCTGAAGTTCAGGTTTGAATTACGCTGGTAAGAGAGGTGACCTTGGGGTTACGTGCGTTTAGTTTTCATTGTAAACTTAATAGGCAGAGATCAACCGAAGTGCATAGCAGTACTGGAGACATTTAATTAAATATACTGAATCTTTACTTTTCTTATAATTGAAAACTGTCATTTGTAAAGATATTAATCGAATTCACGGTCAATGACTGATCTAATTATGAGCACAGCTCTGCAAATCCAACACGTTTCAGATTTGTTTTAATTCATCAGTCACTCATGCTCATTTACAGTAGCATGCTAAATTATTGGTTTGACTTGGGAGGAGAGGAGAGTGAACTGAACAACTCCTGATTTGTGCAAGTTTCAATTTAATATGCCTTGCAGGAAAATCATCATTCGATATTCTTCTCCTGTATAATTTGCATGATCCTGGTATTCATCAGCAGGAGTTTTTCAGGGCACAGATGATAATTAATTTGGAAAAGATTTAAGGGAGAGGAGTAAGAGGAGTGGTGTGTGGAAAGCATAGGTAAACAACAAATGCTTATTTGTGATGAAAAATGCAAGATTCTTTTATTAAAGATTGCAAATTCTAAATTCAGTTTTGTCCACCAGTTCCTGTCTGCACCTTTGATAGGGTTTGCAGGGGAGATGTGTGGGTAGATGAGCACTGCCGGCAGCACAACACTTACATAGGATTAAGACAACATGCATCTTTGCCGAACAGTGAAGCCTGATGCGTGACTATGGCGTGCCTGTACATGATTTATCTTATTCCCACTGGTGGTCTTACTGGTGATGCTTCAAAACTGTTGATAAGGCTCTACTTCAAAAATGTTGTTGTTAGACATTAGCTTCCTATGTCTTTGTCTTCATTTGCAATAGATGTTACGTATTTGAAATGCTATCAGAAATAAAAGTCTTGGGGGAAGCCAGCAACTGGAAGTAAATTGAGCTAAACCAGAAGACTGAGAGAAGATGTGAAGGTTTGTCATCGCATCACCTGCAGCGCAGAGGAGGATATTCTTACCATAGTCAGGTTAAAAAACAAAAGTGATAGGGCAGGCACATCACAAGGCAGGAGTGAGCGTGAGGGGAAGGCTGACTGCGGGTACTGTGCAGGACAGGTTAGAGTGCTGCGAGGAGTTGCTCAGAAACCACGTTGTGTTGTTAATGGCATAAGTGTGCAGCCTGCCTGCCTTCTCCTGATGTCTAGGCAAGCTTCATCATTCACCTGAACGTCTTACAAGTGCCTCTGTCACTGCCCGCTGCTGGCAGAGACTGTTTTTCCATGCCTGGCTCTATATTACCTTCTCAAACAAGTCGGGGCAGGGCTGGCAGACAGTAAGCAAAGACTTTCTAAAAAATGATGACTACATCACATTTCTAATTAAAGTGAAGTTATGTTGTCTTTGGCAAAAAAGGATGGCTTCCTGTTCCGTCAGAGACCTCATCTTCTCTGAGAATAGCAGCAGTTTATGGAGAAGCCTTTTCAAATAAGCATAGGGTAAAGACTCTTTACTCGTGCTTTTGTCATTAAGAAGGAGGTGAGTAACTATTTCCAAATGAGACCATTTCTGGTTGAATTGATACAGTGGCACAATCCAATTCAGCTGCGCCTGTGGAGCCACAGCCACATTCTTATATTTTGTTTCTATCTTATCCAATAACTGACAAAAGTTGCTGTGCAACATGGTTTTGTGTGGGACTTTATTTATGATGACCAAGTACTGCAGTGAACTTTGTTATAGTAAACAAATTATGACATGAATGGATCATATTATCAGCAAATGTTTCTTTTTTATTAGGGGTCGAACAGGAAGGATCCGTGTCTTATCTTTCAAAACTGGTGTTGTATCCCTTTGTAAAGCACACCTGGAAGATAAATATAGATGTAAGTCAACATATCTGTTTTGGGTTTAGTTTATGTTTATATTCTGGTTTTATTCCTCCTATCTAATGCATAAACATATAAGTAGCATACAGATAGACTATCTTTTTGGTAGTCCAGATGCAAAGTGTGCTAATTTGCTCCTCCTTGTACTTTTAAGTTAAGTTAGGTATTTTAGCACAGCAGTCCCCAAACTTTTTTGATCATGCCCCCTTATTGGTAAAAAAATTTTGAGCGTGCACCCCCAATAGATTTATATTTATTTATAAATTATATATATATGTCCTATTGTACTAATATCTTATGTATAGCATACACAAAAATAAAAATTTAAAAGGCATGAGATAAAGATGAAATAAACACTATAATTTTTAAAATTTATTATCAGAAAAAAAAAAAAAAATGACCACACCCCAGTAGATTGTCTTGCTCAACCCCTGTGGTGAATGCATCCCACTTTAGAGACCACTGGTTTAGCACACCTTCATACACAAAAATGCAAGTCTAGGGGACCTCTTGCATTACATCATTTATATTATCTTTTTAAAATGTTTTCCACAATGTGGTCAGGATCTTATTAAGTAAATTGTGCTTAAATATAGTTGCTATATTTAAATAAATATTAAGAGTATGTGCATTTTGCATATTTTAGTAGACAAAATCCTGAAATACTTGAAAAAATTCCACTTGAAGTTTTAGTTTTATCTGACTAATGAATCAGTTCATTAGTGAGGCTAGGATCCAGAGAAGATCTACTGATTAGAGGAGTTCTCAAGAGTAATTTTCTGGTTAAATTAACTGTTATCACTCATTCGTGCATTTAAGAAAAACACTGAAAACACAGCCTTTAGGATTTGACCCAATACCATAGCAGTTCTTCATCAATTGTTATTATTCTATTCTTATACTAATGAAAGTTGAAGAATGCTAAGTAGAACCAAGACAGTTCCAACAACGGAGTCTGTGCATGACTGTGTATAATTGGATCAGATTTTAGGGCAATCACTATGAATGTCACAGTTTAGACCTCTAGATGTTTCATGTGGGTGTTGTGAAAAAATATTCAGAAACTCTTTTAAGAAAATTACTCAGTACAGATATTTTTCAAAATGATATTTCATTGAGGATTATCAAAGTTATAACTTTTATAGGAAAACATTTATTAATATTTTATAGTCTAGTGTAGTGCGTGTGCACGGTAATGCATAACCCCTTGTTTAAGGTTGTAGAACACTTAATGTCATAATAATGGGGAAATTGAAAGCTGAATCCTTTGTGGACAAGGAAGGAATTGTCTCTGCCAGGCCGTGGTCTGGTTTCACCATCCATGCCAAAGTCGTAGTGCAGTTGCTCTTAGTGTTGCTGCAAGTATGTGATGAGTCTCACCCCTTAAAATTTTTTCTCTCGTTTGTGCAGCAGAGCAGAGTTGGTTGTGTTAAAGCACATTCTTCAGGCTTGCAGACATGATAGAAGGATTTATCCCAAAATTATTTATTGTAAAACTAGACATTCACTAGAGTGAAATTCGTGTAATTAAAAAATAATCCTTTCTCTATCTATTCCTTTATTCCTTTGGAAGAAAACAGGTGTCAAAGCAGCACTAGGAAAGTTCTCTCGAGCAGTGCTGAAGCACCTTTCTAATTGTATCCCTGGTGTCGGGTGAAATATTAAGGTGGCTCTGAAAAAAGGCCATTATTTTATTCTAGCTGTCTCTTGCTCTCTCTTTTTTTTTTTTTCTTTTTTTTTTAACTCTTTGAAAGTTAAGGAGAATTTATTCAGGTCACATATTGTCGACAGGGATATTATCAAATAAATATTTCAGTTAATGCTAACCTAATTTTTCTCATTATTATGAACTCTAAAACCTCCCTCAATATATACGTAGTATGATTAATTTTCACCAAATTAAACTGAGCTTACAAAGGGATCATATTTCTGTCCTGTAAGGATTCTTTTCTAGAATGATGCAGTAACAGAACATGGCTTCAAGTGACATTTCACTTCAGAAGTGAAAACTTAATATGATGTTAACATTCCCCATGGATGGCAGGTTCTGTTGTTCTGTAATGTTTTTCTTTCATTTTACAAATACTCCTGGATTAAATGATTATGATATATCGAAGTTAGGGAGCTCCTGTTTTTCAGTTCTATTCATCTGAAAGAGAAATGGGTTCACTGAGTTGTATGTTTATTGCTAAAACTTGAAAATGTGTTGTATGAGATTATTTTACTGTTAAATGATATTGTTAAACATTTATGTTGTTGTCGATCAAAGATCCTGCTGTTCAGTTAGCTGAGTTATAGGATCACAGCTACTATTACCAGTAATGCCACAGGTGCTGTGTTACAATGGCCTTTCTTCCCAGGTACAAGCCAATAATGCTATTAAAAATTAGCACTAGACACTGCCTCTTTAAGAGAAAAAAAACCCAGTGTTTATGGGAAGAGAAGCAGCCAAACCGAAGACACCTGTGTGTCCATGTCCACCGAGGCTGCTGAGTGCACTTGTGAGCCTTTGACGTGATGCAAACGTCTGCGCTGTTTGCCATATCTTGGTTGTGGTGCTTTAGCAGGGGTGTCCTTTTCCTTCCTCCAGACCTGTTCAAGCAAGTGGCAAGCTCCACCGGCTTCTGTGACCAGCGCCGGCTGGGGCTCCTGCTGCACGACTCCATCCAGATCCCTCGGCAGCTGGGGGAAGTGGCCTCCTTTGGGGGCAGCAATATTGAGCCGAGCGTCAGAAGCTGCTTCCAGTTTGTAAGTTCATGTTTGCTCGCTGTTCATTTTCTGATTTCTGTGGTGTCGGGGTAGCCTGTCCGTTCTGAAGAGGACTGAAAATCTAGAACAAGCATTAGGGAGTCATTTAGTGGTGGTGTTCATTGGTGTATTAAACCATTCCTTTGACCAGATGTATTTGAGTTAGCCCGTTTCTCTGGACGTGGTGGAAGAAGCCTAGATTGTGCTGTTACCCAGACAGCAAATAATTATCATCAAGGCTTATATTGTGACTGAACCTTGCAAACAGTTTAAGTCTTTGTTACGGCAGGTCCTGGTTTTACAATTTGCTATTGCCAGCGGTTGCTCACCATTTATTGCTGCCATGTAGGTGAACAGCAATGATTAATCTAAATTTTAGGCATATACATACCAGTGACAGACAGGTGCCGAGGGGTGTGATAGGAAAGGAGCGACTGCCTGCAGTGCTCTCTGGGGGTGAGCAGCGCTCAATGAGCTCCTTCCGCTGCTTGAATGGATAATGACAGTTTTCTTTAAAGAGTACTGAAAGCATTCCTGTCCTGTCTGTTGAGGGATACATGGCAAACTGGAGGCTCTTTTTCAGACTTGTAAATTATTTAATCTGGGGAGGAAGAGAGTTAAGGGAATTATTCATCCTTATCCTAACTAGCAGCAGAATGCATAAGATGAAGACAGCTGCTTAATGAAAAGGTAGAGGAGGGGAGGTAATGTATGGTCTGTGATTAACTCTCAATGCATCTTCTACATTACAATGGAAGAAACACGTTTTTTTTCCCATCCCCTAACTGTCCCTGGGGGACTTTTTGTTTGGTTGGGGGTGGGGGGAGTTTTTTGCTTTTTTGCTTGCTACTCAAATTCCATTATGTGGTAGTTGCATTCTGTAGTAAGCAAAACACAGCAAGTTTTTTTCAATGAATATTAATGCTTGGAAGTAGTCTTCTTACACATGCTGACTATGAAAATAATCTCATTCTAAAATCACCACAAACTTCAGTCGTGGTACTTTTTAAACTTCTTTTAACAGATTAATTCTACAGGATTCACATTTTCCCATTTCCATCACCCATGTCTTGACCTTTTATAATTTGAATCTGTATTTGATGACATTTCTAAGTGAGTGTTTCATAGGACTGTATCCTGGGTGGATAACCCGTGCTGATAAACTGTGCACAGTAACTTTGACATCTGGGTTAGGTGCTGCTATGGCTTTCAAGCCTCAGAGTTCCTCACCGGGCTTTCAAGTGAGACCAGCAGCAAATCCATGGTCAAAAACTCATTTGTGCAAATGACCTTCCTTCGAAATGATGACTTGCTGGATCCTGTAGTTTTCCCAAGTGAATGGCAACAGCACTTAGAACACTGTTGAAAAACTGATAAGGAAAGTGACCTCGGAATCTGACAAAAACATGTTTTTTTCAGGAAGGAGGCTGACATTGTGCATATTTATACTAGGAAAAAGAACAATAAAATTCATAGTGATGGAACACACAAAAAACAGTTTTTATAAAGTAGGAAGAAGACCTTGGAATAAATGTTTATTTGAATAAAATGAGTTAGCAGCATTGTCATTACAAATGAAGCCATGCCAACAGGCTGAATGCTGTTCCGCAGCCAGCTGCCAACATTTCTAGAAACAGCCCAAGCATGACGGAGCACAACCTGTAACATGTTCATAAATCAGAACATCAGAAAACCGGAGGTTTCCTTCTCTTACCTGCACTGAAAAATAGGTTTTCTTCTTACCTACAGTAAGAGGAATTTCATCCTCTTTTTATCCTCTGGGAGAAGCCTCATTTTAACTTGTAGACTGGGAGGATGGTTTCTGACTGGGGTTGCAGCAGAGCAGATGATTTTGTAGGACCAGAAAGGAGGAGGGAGGCTAAACCAAAGAGGGGAAAAAGAAAACAAGGTGGGATGGAGTCCTAGGGAGAGGAACAGAAATCCAAGTGTAGGAAGAGCCCTGATGGAGAGGAGGGAGAAGGAACTAAGGAGTGGAAAAATAAGGACTGCCCTTAGGAATTGATGGTAAGAACAGTAGTAGGAATAACAGTGACAAAGGATGCAGAAGGGTGGGTAAGATGAGGCATGAAAGAAAGGAGCAGCCAGGAATGGAGATGGGGGAAGAAATAACACCTTTCCAGGAGAAAGGGAGGAGAGGAGTACAGAGAGATTCCTTTGGTGTCAGAGAGTGGTGTTGGGGGGTGTGGGGGTCCTCAGGCTGGGGGGGCAGCACAGAAGTGCTGCGGGAGCAGCCTGGGAAGCGGAGCGGCTGGAGGAGCTGGACAGCCAAGGAGGATTGCTCAGGGCTCCCGACGGCCTCCTTTTGCTGAAAGGAGATAATTCCATTAAAAAAAAAAAATAGTTTGGGGATTCTTAGTTTAAATTACTTTGTGGAAACTAAATTAAGTCTTTCTTTGTACACCCACAGTGAGGAATACTTTTTCTTCAGGTCTTTTTTTTTGTTCTTTTTTTTTTTTTTTTTTTTTTCTTTCCTGGTGATGATAAGCCGGCAATAAATTGCAGTCATGTCAGAGTCTGCAACAAATGTGTGCTTCAGCAACGGCTCTCCCAGCCTCCTTAGGTTGGGTGCCCTGGCAACGGCCTTGTCTGTCTGCACAACAGCAGAAAAAAGGGGATGTTTACTGTTCCCTGCGATAACAGGGGAAATCTCTCCTGCTTTTTCAGTTTGAAGTGCGAGTCCTTGGGAATGAGGTCTGGCTCCTGCCAGCGCTGCCAGCTCCCGAGGAGCGGGTCCCCTTGCCGCAAGCGGCTGCTGTCCCTGCTGCCCACCTTGTGCTTCTCATCCCCCCAGCACCAACACTTGTTTTCCATAGTTTTTTTCATATATGGGAATGTGCTGATAGTTAGTTGTTGGGAGAAAAAGGATGTTATGCGACTAATTTTTCCTACCTGGTGCAGGGGGATGTCATTTCTGCTTTGAGATTTTAAAGAAAAGATATTTTTAAGTGAGAGCAAAGAGCTTGATTGAATGACTATTTGAAGACTATATAGTTCTGCCTGGGCTCAGACTGTATCAAAGGAATGTATAGATCCCTGAAAAATTGAATTAATTCAATTTTACTACATTGTGAAAGCACTTGCCTTTTAGATCTGTGATGTGCACATTTTTTAAGTAAACAGGATAAGGAATTGTTATGTACTAAAGGACACATGCGCTGTGTTTCAGTCAAAGTGGAAAATTATTAATCTGCTTTCCTTGTAAATAGGACCTAGGAATTCACATCACTTCCTTGGATGAGTTACTGTGACACTGGGACGTTTAAGAAATGTGATGCAATAACAGTGCATCTCAGATGAAAATGTCTCTTGCTGTTTCTCAATAAAATTTGGGATATTTCGTTCTCAATGTACAGTTAATTAATATCTGCATTTTAAAACTTCTTGTTTCATTTCACTTTGACAAAGGAAAGTATTTTAATATTCTGTGTTGTATAGTCTAGTTTTGTACTTGATCAATGATCAGGCAAGATCAGCCTGGTTTTTACAACCACTTAACTGTGTCTAAATCCAGTGTATTTACTCGGACAAATAAAAGCCAGAATAGGGGTCTGTTAGTCCTTTTAGGTGGAGTTTGGGTATTGAAAATCCTGGGCCAGGAGCCTGATAGTGACTTTGACCACAAATGATGAGATTTTAATTGATTGAACAGTTGTTTTGTGAGGGGTGAGTTGAGGAATTTTTTTATTTTATTTTATTTTTTAACAGTTAGGAAATATCAATACTGAATACAAATAGCTATCTATAGTTATATAAAGGTCTATATGAAAATAACAAACAAGTACAGTGTTACTATTGAGGGACTTGATCTCTTTTAAGAGATCCAGGCAACCCTTGTTTCTATTCATAGGATTTTACTTCTGCTTTTGACTCGAACAGGAGAGCTGGCCTGAGGGGAACTAGCAAATCCTTCCTCAAGCTGCTATGCTATAAATGTCATAAAACAGCAATTCTGGTTTTATTTTAGCAGAATTTTGTGAACCTGTGCCTGACTTTGGGAGGCACTCTTGAAGAGTCCTAGGAGTGAACTAACTGCTTTAAAGAGCTATTTTTAAATGCTTTCATGTATGGGGAATGGGAAGCAGGAAGATGATGTTTTTCAAGTGTGGATGGTATAAAACTGTACATTAATTCACTTCTGGGTTCATGGTTTTATATTTTATTACTCTTTGCCACAACACTAAAAATATTGACTGGAGTAGTCAGTGCAACCAAGTGTAATGCAAGGGGTCAAAGTAGTGATCTTAAGCATTTGCTCCAAGGGTCAAGGCAGATTTAAGCACTTCGTATCACCCAAAGTTTCCTTTATAATAATCCTCTCTTTCTTGACCATGAAACAGCATTTGTCTCGGAAAGGATAAATTCAGAACTTCTGTTTTCTTTCCAGCTAGCAATAAGGAGAACACAAACTTATTGAGGAGACCACTCAAGAGTGGCAGACAAGGTTCAACAGGGTTTGATCTTACTCTGAGGAGACAAGGCTGCTGTTCATTGCTTGCTCTGCATTTTTTAAATTTAACGAGTTGTAAGAATCCCATTCCTTAATTTGGTTTGTCCAAAATAATATTTACCTAGACTAATGTAAATCTTTCTATCCTGGATGAAAAACACCATTAAATTAACAATGATAATTTATTTTGAAGTAATTTCCTACACTGCACGTAAACAGAACATAGCTCATCAAATATTATCAGCAAATTTGTGCTATATTGTCTGAATCTGTCCAAAAACAGACCACATTGCTCTTGTAACATCATGACTGTATTTTAAAGCATATTTCATATTATGGATAGATAAAGTTAATAGAGCACAGAATACTTTTTAAACTACTAGCTGGAAGAGGAGGGGGGAAAAAACTGAAAAATTCAACTCCGAAGTATTGCATAAAGATGCTAACACCACCCAACTTCCTATTCCCCCATTGTTTCTGCAGAATAAATACTGAAAAACAGATGTCTGGAACATAATGAATCTGAATGTCCCGCATAACAAATTGTTACTTGTAAGCTGTATAGGGCTTTATGAATTTTACTTTATGATTCGCTCTGTTATTACCATAAAAATTGGGAGTTGCACAGAAATGCGTTCAAGAGAAGAACCATTAATATTCTTTACAGCTTGATCTTGTTGGTTCAGATACAAACTGTATGAATTCAGACTTTTTCCCTTATATAAAATCTTCAGCTGCTGCCTTTACCGGATTTAGAGATTATTAAAAAAATTGTAATAGCGGCTCAGGGAGCAGTTGAGAACTATCTGTCCTATACTGTCTGACCCTGACCAGCTTTTCTCCACATGGCTTTAAATCTTCATGTAATATAATTCAGAACCAGTTCTGATACATTTTAATGCACCTAATCTCTCTGAGCACAGGTTTTGTACAGCCAGCGTGCAGAGCTCTGGGTAGGCAGCTATTGGGACTGCTGGCAATCGACAGTGACTGCAAAATTAAAATAGATCTTGGGGTGTTACAGAAAGTCTTTCATCACCGCAGCATTTTCCCTGCAAATTTAAAGCAGCTACAAGTGGAGAGCCGGGCTTGGAGCAGCTCATTCTTATTCTGCCTGCAGTTTGCACTGCAGCATTTCTGTACACTTCATGTTTTTCTATTAGAAATGGCGTATTAAAGAGATCCTCTTAAAATTTTTTTGAGGCTTAGAGGACCTCTGTATAGCAAGTGTAGTCTGCTAGGCAGGGTAATGGTTTGCCAGTGTAGTTCCTGGCTGATTCAGAAAGTCTCTCCCCAGCCCCTTTACTGCCCTGGCTGCTAGCTGAAAGACAGAGGTATAGATGATCATATTTTATAAATTTGCCTTTGTCTGAGGGGAGTTCTAGAATTAATTTAATTCTGTTGAATTCACTGATGACATAGAATCTTAGAATGGTTTGGGTTGGAAGAGACCTTTAAAGGTCATCTAGTCTACCCCACCTCCCCCGCAGTCCTGCAGCAGAAGGCAGTATCTGCCGTTCTGTACAAATTCTGTTGCCAGTGTTGGCTGGACTTTTTATTATTTTCTCTCTTTTTTCTTTGGGAGGGTTCCTAAATTCTGTAGCTACATGAAAAAAACACAGGATTTAATGCAGAAGTCTTCAGAAATATTTCAGTGTGTGGGGAAAAAAAAATAAGAAAAGTTTATTCCATTTCATATAAGACCTGTAGTTAATATTAAATTTTGAAGGAATTTGTCTGAATAACTGTAGATACGTTGTGGTTTGACAATTTTACTCCAAACATCCAAAAAGGGTTTGTGTGACTGTACTAGAAATCCATATACATAGATCTTATGCAATCATAGGAATCTTTAGATGGATTCCCAAACTAGAATCTCAGGAAGAAAGCCCTGACCCATAAATCTCTTTATTTCTAATTAACCAAAGTATTGCAGCAGCATCTTAAGTGCATTTTAATGCAATGCATTATTCAGGAGATATTCTGGGGGTTTTTTTCCACACCTTTCCTGTGGCCAAGGGTTCTATCTAGGAGACTTTGCATTTTTCTCAGTCTTCAAGTATTGATCATTTAATTTGTTTGTCAAGATTATAAACAGTTTTAGCTTAAGAAAAAAAAAAAAAAGGCACAAAACCGATTGGTTTTCCCTATAATTCTTTCTCCTTTACATCAGTTGTGATATTTTTTCACCAAATTCGTTGCTAGCATTTTTAGTTGAATAAGGTTATAGCTAGGTCATTCTAAACTCAGATTTCATGAGAAACTGGAAAAGTAACTGAGAGCAAGCATAAAAAACCCCAGCACTCAATCCCCTATTCATCTTGGTCCATGTACATGATACATTAATGCTTATTATTTATTTAAATGCTTCAGATAGGTTTGGAACCACAAAGGAAGACAGTCTGCCTTGTGAAGTTCGAAATATAAAAGACTAGCCCGCTGAGGACTCTATTTGAAAGCCTAGTGAAAAAGGAAAACAGAGGATTTAAATATATTCAGCCCATAAATATGCTGTTTCTGTTGGGTAGCATGGAAGTAAATGTCTCAAGGAATTTGAATTACCACATAGTGATGATTTAGAGAAATGGAGCGGGACAGTATCATGCTTCATCACATGAGCTGTTCCCTGTACCGACCCTTCCTCCTCCCTCCCATCCTCCCCACCAGAACCCTTTGCTGTTCCGACCCAATCCATCACGTTGCTTTCAGTGCCAAAGCCATCTCCTGGGTTCTCAGGTAACCAGTTTTGTGCAGGCTTCACAGCACCCTGCATGCTTTAGAGACATTCCCTGGAAACATTGACTCTGTCACTTCACTGTTTTCCTTAAAATCCCATTTGATGCTCTTTGCCTTTATTCTGCACTGTTTTTTGCAGTGGCTAGTCTGCCAGAAAAGTGTGACCTCCAACCAGGCTGTTGTCCCCCATTGCCTCGTATTTCTTGTCCCTGAAATAATCACACCGGTTAGGAGGTGGTGGGAAGGCAGCAGAGCAACGGAGCTGCCAGGAATTGTTCAGAGGCTCTTCTGCTGTTGGCAAAGAGGCAAAAGTGGGAAGTAATGGAATATGAGGCTAAATTGGTTGTATTCTGTGGGACAAAACTGCATTGTGTTTGCAGGCAGTGATGGGAAATGTAGAGATGATATGGGGGAAAAAAGGATTTTGAGGCATTTAAGGAAGCAGAGAGTTTGCACGTTCAACAACAGGTTTGAGAAGGGATTTGAATGATTTCCTTATGCATGGAAATTCCATTTTGAAGAAAGGTCAGTGTGATAATGAAGGATGTTAAAGAGAAAGGAATTTTGGTCAAAAGGCCTGCAATTTTTAGGGCTTGGATAACACAAATTGTTTTTAAAATAGGTAAGAACCAGTGCTATGCAGGCTCAGGTAAAAGAGATGGGAAACACAAGATCAGGCATCAAAGTTGATCTTGTAAGTGGATGATTTTCTTCTGTGACAGAGTACATGGTAGTGCTGTCTATTGTAGTAGGGAATAAGAGAATGAAAGATTTGAAACATTAATGATAGTTTTCAGTTCCTGGCTTGAAGGCAGGATCCTGGAGTTTGGTTTTGGGGAGGGGGGTGGGGAGGGTGTTTGTTTTGGTTTGGTTTGGTTTTTAATGAATGGCTGGACTAGGGGAAAATATATATTCAGGGAAAAGATACGGAGAGTAGGCAGAAAGTAAATGACTTGAACTGTTAATTAGCTGGTAGTAGACAGATCACTTGTGCTCAGCTCCTGCCTTCCTTCCCCCTATGTTACAGGCCAACAACAAACCAGAGATTGAAGCAGCCCTCTTCCTGGACTGGATGAGGCTGGAACCACAGTCCATGGTGTGGCTGCCCGTCTTGCACAGGGTGGCTGCTGCTGAGACCGCCAAACACCAAGCGAAGTGTAACATCTGCAAGGAGTGCCCAATCATTGGATTCAGGTACAAACTCACTGCCTTCCTGCCCTGTGTACTACTGCGTGGTGGATCAAGAATTCTGCTTGTTTTCAGGCAAATTATGTGCTTCATTTTATTCATGTGGTTCAGGAAAAAAATAATTGTGACAAGGTACAAGGGAGAGTGACACCTAGGCTGGGTACAGCGATGCGAGAGTTGAAGAGAACAAAAATCATCTCTCAGTTAAGCTATGGCCCTTCCTCTGCATCCCAGGCTTTCCGTGCCTCAACCAAAGTACTGGTGGATTGCACAACTAATACGACTGGCTTTACATTCAGTTTGTCCTATACATGCAGTTACATTTTCTGAATTGGAGCCTAATTAATTGCTTTCTCTCATAGTATAAAGCAAGGAAGTGCCTTGAAAATTCACAGACATGTAAAGCTACATGTGCGCTTCTCAGAGAAAGAAAGTAGTTGGTGGAACATTAACCTGGAGTGGGGGAAATGTTGCTGGTCTATTTAAACATCTGGATCGACACCATGGTTACTATGGCAATGAATAAGTCACTGTGTTGTAAAATGGCTGTGTGTTGGTATGCCTGTTGAGAATCCACTTAACGGCTAAGTAAATACTCACTTTCAATTATGCCTAGACTTGTTTTATCACTTTGCTTCGCAATAGCTGCTTTGTATAGTTTCTGTCCCTTTTATGCACGGTCTTCTTTGACCATTGGCATTTCTCTTTCTATGATACTGTGTTGTTCACAAAGAGCTTTCTGTAATTTTGTTTCTAAAACTCAAATAGACAACAGCAGTAAGCAGTACCACATAGAAAAGCCGTCATTTTGCTCTAACCTGGGAGGGTGAGAATGTTGTTTTTATGCATGTAGTAGGGCAGTGGGAAACAGGGGGAATGAAGGCATTACTTAGTTTTGAATCTTGGATTTTTCTTCAGTGAGACTGTACCTCTAATCATCTAAATTTTTCTCCTGCTTTTATTCCTCTTGAATATTTTAACTGGGAAATGATAAATGTTACTGAGGAAGAGCTAGGGATGGGATGCGAGTAGTTCAACCCATCCACAAAGTCTAACTTTCCTGTTCCCAGTTAGTGAAACTACTGAATTACTTACACGGCTTTGTGTAAACAGCCAAAGACAAGTAGGTGGAACTGAAAAATGCAGCACTTGGAAAATCAAAGGATGGCAAGTGAATGGATAGTCTGTAGTGAGCATCGAGAACTTGGGAAGCAGACACTGGAGCTCTGTGTTTGCATCTAATTTTACTTGTCTGATCTCATCTGGCTCTTAAATTTATATAACAAATCTATTATCAAGATAGTCGAATCTGTCTGTCGCAGATTTCTTCTCTGGCTTTGCAAGTCATTGAAACCCTGTGTACACACTTGACAAAAAGATACTGTATTGGAAGGCTTTTAGAAAGCTAATACTGTGTGCTTCAGTATGTGTTAAACAATGTTCTTTTGAGGTCATTGTGACTGAACTGCTTTGCGTATTTGGAACAAGACAACCCTTATGCCTCCGGCTCTTTCAAGCACTTTAGCGTAGCAGATACAACAGTTAGCTGCCTCACAGAGATGATGAGATTAAATAATGGCCTGAAAGCACATTTGGAGTTTTGCATGGATGGAATGCCATACAGGAAAATTGTTTTGATAGAGGTGCTAGGAAGGACACAAACAAATTACTGCCTTGTATCCAGCACTTAGGAGTTTGCTGGAGGGACTTGTTGAGGAGAGCATTGCTTATTTTAATTTTACTTCCTCGGGACATTCTGTGTTAGAAATCATGATGAAGAGCAACAGAACTGAAATTAGCATAGAAACAAAAAATGTGGTGGTGTCTTTCCTATGGTGAAGAGAGTGATTGTGTAGAAATCTTTGCTGTCGCTCAGTGTTAACATTTTTTCTGAAGATTCAGATCTTCGATAAACATCTGAGGCAGCAATACCTGTCCCTCAGTGGCGGAGGAGCATTGCCTGGCATTGCACACTGTGTGACATCTCAGGGAAGAGAACTTACTCATCCAGAAAACTTGACAAGCTGATATGAAGCATTCACATACAAAGCTCTGAAACCATGTTTTTTTTCCCTCCTCTTTTAGGTACAGAAGTTTAAAGCACTTTAACTATGACATCTGCCAAAGTTGCTTCTTCTCTGGCCGTGTTGCAAAAGGTCATAAAATGCACTACCCCATGGTGGAATACTGCACACCAGTAAGTAGCTCTTTTACTGACCTTTACTGTCCCTTCTTACGTAGAAAGGAAAAACTTCATTTTCTATGTGCAAGGTAATGGAGTATTTGGGTGGCTTTTCTTTCCCCCCCTATAATTAAATCACCTTTTATATACCATACGTGCCTGCAATTTCTGATGCTTAGTAAAGGTTACTCCAATGGTTTGAAGTAAATTGAAGTTCATTGTTTGTACAATGCTGTGTCGTAATGTATTATTGCTCGTTTCGTGTTCAGTGCCATAGTTGGCTTTATGGATCCTGCAAGAAGCCTGTGATTTGTGCAAATGCTCATTCATAGCTTAGGTGGCAATGTATTCTCCATGTCAGTGTGGTGAGATTTACCTTTCTTTCCTTAGCAAGTTGCCACTTCACTTGTTTTCCCTGCAGCATTTATGATTGCGATTTTAAGTTCTTTACTATTTTGTGGTGCTTTTGTATTGTATGACCACTTAATGATATAAAATTTCAGGGAAGTCCTCAAGAGTAGCAATTTAGATTTCATTTCTGAAGACCAGAAGCCAAGGTGTTCAGTGTTGCACAGTAGAGATGTGCTTCATTGATGGTGTGGTGAGGGTCTTCACCCTTGTTTCACAGCTCTCAAAAGGATCACTTTTGTGTAAACATTTCTTTCATACCAGGCAGCTGGCAAAGGAAATTCCATATTACTCTCTGTGTGCTCCTTTTTCTTTTTGGCCACTCATGATCAGGCCAGAAGGGCATAAATTAGAGGAGCTCTCAAGTTGTCCTTCCATGATGCAGCATGACTGAGCTTTCAGCTGTCTTTCCTGTTGTTTGTGGTGTTCTTGAAGCAGTGCACTCTCTGGTTGTCGTTTCCTAGTGTGATGGGATGGTCCCTAGTCTTGTACTTTCATTTGCTGGTCAAACATGGTGAAAATAAAGCATCAAATTTATACATAGGCTAGCTTCATAAAATTTTATGAATGGTCTTTACATTTTCATCCAAACAAAAAGGCATGGCCATAATGAAAGTAGAGACTCTCAGCTTTTCTTAGGAACTTAGAAAAAGAGGGGAAAATAGTCTCCTTACATATTACAGTAAAACAAACCCAGTATTTTTGTTAGCTTTATTTTATGGGTATTTATTTCCATTGACTATCAACTTTTACTGTAGCATTTAAATGGCAGCATTTAATCTGATTGTCTGCAAGGGCAACTAATGTACATTTGCTAGTTTTTTGTTGGTACTCACTGGCTGCTGCTGTTCAGTGTTGTCCCCCAGGGGTTGAGGTTACTGGAAAGGGCCAATGTGCCTGAATGGCTGCACAAGTCAGAGGGAGGTGCTGGTGCTGCCTGGGCAGGTCTGAACAGACTTCTCCATCGCAGGCATTCCTAGAGCAGACTCTCATGATCCCAGTTGTAGGCAGAGCGAGCGACCGACCACCTTAGAGCACTGCTTCCAGCTGCAGCTGAATACCTCTGTGCTGAATTGGCACAGGTTTGTTTTGCAGTTTACCACTCTTGTTCTTGCTAATAAGCAACATGGGAGATTTGTGAATGGTGCACAGAGTGCAAGAACCAACATCTTGCTGCTATTTTCTTTAACCTATGCATAAGATGTGTTTTGAGGAGAGAGAAATGAAAAAAGATTGTGAGACACCCCCACAGCCTGCAGCAACTCATTGCGACACGGGCTCCAGCAGGTTTCTGTTCTCCTTAAAAACACAGATTACTAACAGGCGAACACAGTGGTGAGCAGAAAACCTGCAACCACATCCAGATTGCTGGATCAGAATAAAGAACCATTCACAGCAAGTACATTTTTTTGTGAATCCTGAACTCCAGCAGCCCGTGCTAATGTGCCGTGCCTGGCTGCGCCAGCAGCCCGTTGAATTAGAGAAGGATTAACTGGGGGGAGGGGGGCAAGTGAATGTGACACACAGCAAGCCCTGATCTTTTTTTGTGTTGCTGCTATTGAAAAAATAAACCCAAGTACTGTGTGACTGAACAAGACATCCACTGAAGCTATCATGTCTAGTATGCAATTGTTTTCTAAATTAATGAAAAGGAGTTTGCAAGTGTCAGAGCATTTTTTTCCTCTTCCTCCAGACAAATCTCTCACCTTAAAGTGCATTTTGGCAGACAGAAGACATGTGATGCCTTCTTTGATATATCTTGGCAAATAGCTAGATGTGCACAATGAAGTGGTTTGATATTTCTGTTCTCCCTCCTTCTTACTTCCAGGAAATTTTGGAGCAGTGCAGTCTTTAGTTCTGCTTAGGGGAGATTTGAGAACTCATGCTTAATATCTGAGGGATGTGATAACTTTTACTCTCCTGCAGAAGGTTGAGGAAGAGTGAGGGCAAGGCAGTTCCCTTATTTTCATTTAGACAGAAAAATTGCAACAATTATTCCTGCAGTACAGCTCGATTTATTGCTCAAAGGGAGGTGATTTTTAAAGAGGTTTCAAATAAAGCATAGAAGACAACTTCTAGACTGGGATTTAAATGTAGGATCATTTTAAATGGCAGTTGGATCATATTAGAGGTGCTTGGTGCTTTTAGTTGTCAGCAGAAGACACATTTTCTTCTTGGGATTCTTGTGTTATGAGCCAGAGTGGAATGTTTGTGTGCAAACACACCATTGTACTGTTTGGTTGTCATGCAGAAGGTTCAGGGGAGCAAGATGGGGTAATAGTCCCATGAAGATCAAAGCAAATAACATTTTATTGTTAATTATGCCTGAAAACACTTCATCCAAATTACAGTCAAATACAACGGAAAGTGTTCACAGCACTGAAAATAGACAAGGCAAGAATAAATGCTTAGAAATCACACAGGTGAACAAAGTAGACAGAAAACTGTGCTTAATCTGTTTATCCTGAGACTAAATATTAAAAGTTTTCCTCTGTTCCCAGCTGATGTGCAATGTGTGCTCTGATGCCAACCTGGTTAGGAGCTCTCCTGGCAGGCGTTGCAGATGGCAGGCGGCAGAAGGAATTCCCTCTTGCTGGGGCATGTGAGGCCACCTCAGTAAATCTCCTTTCTGGAGTTCTCTGGGTCATCTGAGCGTACTTAATCCCTCCCTTCCCCAAAATGTCTTTACTTCCGATGTATTGAGGAAACAATACTTAATATTATCGAGCATTATCTCATTTTCTTGAAACTGCTACTGGCTTGTAGGTTGTGCTGTGTCACTCCTCTGCCAGTCATTGCTCACGCCAAATTTTTGTATCAGGCAGACCAACCAGATAGAGAGCCAAATTCTTTCCAGCTTTACATGAAGCTTGTAGGTGTCATCAGTACAGGGATAATATTTGTCCTTTCTGTTAATTCATTTCAGTCTTTCTGCAGATTATTTTTCAGAGCATCCTTAATTTTTGTACTCAGACAATCGTTAAAATATATACAAAATATATACAATATATACATCTCTGTTTGAGCAGCTCTGTGAAGGTTGGCTTGACTGGTACATCCCAGCATCTCCTTCCTCTCTAAATAGAAGGCATAGAACTCACTAAAAAGTGTCAGAAAGATTAACTTTTCCCTCATTTCTTTCCTTCAAATTAGATACACTGGAGAAGCAATATTGTTATGTGGGTCAGGAAGAACTTAATTTACTATAGAAGAACAGTATTTCAGTGTCTCTTGCGAGGTGCAGAGAAGGGAGTGCAGCCTGACTAAAGTAACTGAAGTCTTCCATTAAAATTCTTCAGAAAATCGCCGGACTCTTAATCAGGCTTGTAAGAAATCTTGCATCTTCTCAGTAGACATCCTTTGAACTCTTCCTGTCTCATTCTGGTCTTTAAGAAATTAATTCCACTTTGCACTCCTCTGCTGGTCTCTACAGTAGCAAGGAAAGCCAACTGCAGGCAAGAGCAGAAAACTTTGTGCAAATTGTATTGATCTTAAATGCCTGCTAGCTTCAGATTAAACAGGCACAGGAAGAAATAACTAAGAGCTTTCAGCAGCTCTCACCTACTTTTTGTTTCTCTTTGATCAAAATATTAAAGACAGAGGAGGCTGAGAAGGGGAACTGGAAAGAAAGAATAGCAAGAGTACAGGACTGACTTTTGTGGACAGACAAGTAATGCAGAATCACAGAATGGCAGGGGTTGGAAGACCTGTGGAGATCATCTAGTCCAACCCCTCTGCCAAAGCAGGTACATCTAGAGCAAGTTGTACAGGACTGCATCCACGTGGGTTTTGAATATCTCCAGAGGAGGAGACTCCACAACCTCTCTGTTCCAGTGCTCTGGCACCCTCAAAGTAAAGTAGTTTTTCCTCATCTTCAGATGGAACTTCCTGTGTTCCAGTTTGTGCCCATTGCCCCTTGTCCTGTCCCTGAGCACCAATGAAAAGAGTCTGGCCCCATCCTCTCAACACCCACCCTTTAAGTATTTATAAGCATTATAAGCTCTCCTTTCACTCTTCTCTCCTCCAGGCTGAACAGACCCAGGTCTCTCAGCTTTCCCTCACAAGAGAGGACTGGACTCTCTCCAGTAGTTCCTGGTCTTTCTTGAACTGGGGAGCCCAGAACTGGATGCAGAATTCCAGATAGGGCCTCACTAGGGCGCAGTAGAGAGGGAAGATAAGTTCACTCAACCTACTAGCCACACACTTCTTAATGCACCCCAGGTTACCATTGGCCTTCTTGGCCACAAAAGCACACTGCTGGCTCATGGCCAACCTGCTGTCCACCAGGACACCCAGGTCCTTCTCCACAGAGCTGCTTTTCAGCAGGTCAGCCCCCAACTTGTACTGATGCCTGGGGTTATTTCTCCCCAGGTGCAGGACTCTACACTTGCCTTTGTTGAACTTCATCAGGTTCCTTTCTGTCCAACTCTCCAGCCTGCCCAGATCTCGCTGAATGGCAGCACAGCCTTCCAGTGTATCAGCTTCTCCTCCCAGCTTTGTATCATCAGCAAACTTGCTGAGGGTGCACTCTGTCCCTTCATCCAGGTCATTGATGAAGATGTTAAACAAGACTGGAACCAGTACTGACCCCTGGGGAACATTGCTAGTTACAGGCCTCCAACTAGACTCTGCACTGCTGATCAGAACCCTCTGAGCCCTGCCATCCAGACAGTTCCCAATCCACCTCACTGTCCACTCATCTAACCCACATGAGATGTAGGTGGTGAGCATGTGGTAAGAGTCAGAATCCAGCCAGTGAGGCAGCTAGCTGGACACATGGACTGGGTGTGTGTCCTCCATTACAGCCATTTTAGTGCTGCGCAAAAAGCAGGCAAGAGAGTTCCCCGAGCCAGATGAGGGAATGACAAATTCTTGTCTAATTATTGATTCTCCTCTTGAGATTACCTGAGATGAGGCATGAGCCTGTCAGGGGTTTTTGGAGCTTCCCTTTTTCTTTCTTCCTCCCCACCAGCAGTGTTGCTGTGTAGTACATTGTAAGGTGACAGTGATAAATAAATACAATTTGTGGTTCTGGTGGCCAAGCCATTGGCAGCTTTGCTTGGTGTGACCACAGCTCTTCCAAGTGACCCAGCAAAGGAAGAGGCAACTGAAAAACCACCATAACCTCATGAAAGATGATTTCATTGTGATTTGTGGCTTTCAGACAACTTCAGGAGAAGACGTCCGTGACTTTGCCAAGGTACTAAAAAACAAATTTCGAACAAAAAGATACTTTGCAAAGCACCCACGAATGGGCTACCTGCCTGTGCAAACAGTGTTGGAGGGAGACAACATGGAAACGTGAGTAGCTCTAAAGTGTCTTAAGTAGCAATTCATTTGATATGCTCTTTGAGCTCCCCAGCTGGTGCCAACTCCCTTTACTTCCTAAATGCATAAAGCCTCTTTATTTCTTTCATTTCTGTTACCCTTGGCTGGCAGGAAAACACAAGCTGGGATTCCAATTGCCATTCCCTTTATCTGTTTTCACCTTTCCTTATAGAGGAACTCCAACTTCAGTTAGTAAAAGAAAATTACTTACCGTCTTACTGACAGCCTTATAAACTTCTAAGTTTGATATGGCAATTTGGAGACTAATGATCTCTTCATTAAATTTTTATTTTCTTCCAAATGGGTATCTTTCTGTGCTTTTATTTTTTTTAATTAGGTTACTGTGTTTGCAGGTTTCCCAGCTGATTTCTTCTTTTCTCACTCTATAAATTTAGTCTTATTAAATGACTTTGAAGGCTTTGTAGAAAAAAAAAATAAAAAAATTTAAAAAAGCAATAATGATGCACATGGAGAAATCAGTGAGTAACCCAGTTCCCTTTGGGTTTTTTTACAAGTTTAATCAGTTGTTTAATGGCAATTGCACACAGCTTGTTCTCGCTCTATCTCTTTCTCTTTCTCTCTCTCTCTTTTTTAATTTTAGATTTCATTTTTTTTTTCACTTTTTAGTTGGTTGCTCTTCACAGTCATTCATGTTGGTCTGTTGGATTTCTGTTTTTTAGTTGTTGTGATTTTTTTTTTTTTTTTTAAACCTTTCTGTAATTATTTTGCTTCTGAGTTTCCTCTGCCTCTCTCTTCACCTCCTCATTTTTTGTCTTGCAGTCCTGTTACTCTGATCAACTTCTGGCCAGTAGATTCTGCGTGAGTACTTTTGCTGAAGTGTGCTGCTGCTGCTGCTGCTGCATTCCCTCACTTTTTTTTGTTTTTTTCTTTGTTCAGTTTTACATAAGTTCATTTCCTTCTTTCTTTATGATTGTTTTCTTTGTTACACTCACTGAAGGAATGTTTTGATCCTAAATGAGTAGAATGGGATAAATACAGGAATTCCCAGCAGTCGTGGATTGTGTACTGTATACTCTTTCTGGAGTATGTATTTTCATCAAATTAACAGGGATTTTGGTGCAGTCCTACTAATGCTTATGAGAGTTTGTCATTTGAAAGCCTGTGTTTCTGCATAAGTGTCAATCCCTCTAAATGTATACTAAATGCTTTTTGAAAGATATAAATTGAACATGATGGATTTAATTCAATTTCGGGAATGATGTTGTTTTGTAGATAAAGCTATAATTTGGTTTTACACACAACTGTGCACACCCACACACTCACGTGCCTCAATTCAAAGCTCACTGGATATTTTATTACAGTTTTTTAGATACAGTAAAATTTGTGAAGGCATGTTGAAATGGGGAAATGTTTACTGTATTCTTTCAGAAATTAAAAAATCAGGATTTTTCAGCTATGAACTGGATTTTCATTCTTGCACCGTTCCTGCACATGCGTTGTCTTACTGTTGTAGTAATACCCTCAGCATAAAATAGAGAGAGAAATATATTTACCATTGTGGCATTTGCTACTACTAGTGCTATATGGATGATTTTAGAATAATGTTAAATAAGGATTATTTTTTAATTCACATATTGATAACTATTTAAAAACTAATAAATTGAAATTTATATATTTCTATATGGTGAAATGTATATGGCTTGCACCTTCATTGAATTTTTGGTAGAATAAACAATAGTGAAATGTATACATTTGAATATTGATTTATATTTTTCATTTGGAGCACAAAAAATTGGGAAGTCAAATGAAGTGCTCTTCCTCTGGGAAATTTACTTTAAGCAACCAAGAAATGCATGTAGTACTGCAAACCTCATGTGGTTGAGAATTCATCCGCAGAAAATGCCAAAAGGCTGAAATCAGACTGAAATAGAGGGGCTTTGAACTTTAGGATGCATTTTTGTTTGTAAATGCATTTGGTAATGATGGCAGCATACTATATTCTCAACTGTGGATCTAGATTTCTTACCCTTTAGAACAATGGAAGAGTTAAAAGTAACATTTACAGAAAGCTTGGATAATATGGAATGCCATTGCTTTGTCTGACATAACATGAAATTAAGCTGCCATGACATGCTTAATTCTAGTTCACTTAGAGCAATGACATTGTGATATGCCTACACTGATAGCTTCACACCTAAGATTTGGTGTCATATACTACAGGGATTTTAACTCCCATTTTATACTTTGGGAAACTTGAGAAATACTGAGAAGTGGGATTTGTACAGAGAGGTTGCACCTTTTATCAGACCAACTCGGGTATCTTCCTGAGCACAATCCTTTTGTCTGGTCTGACAAGGAAGCAGAAAATTAAGACACGCACAGTGGCTGGAAAGAATTGCCCTTTGTTTTGTTCTGCTAACTTTGTTCCTTGCCTTAGTGCTAGATCACCCTGGCTACAACACAAGTTACTGAGCTAGCCAGGTGTGAAGCTGTTTCTCAGTTACAGGGCTGATTCCAACTTTGACAGTCAAACCTCTTATTCTGGTTATCCTAAAACTTTCCCGTGTTTTCTGAGATCTCGCCTTTTTCTGGTGCTTTCATGCCAGTTTTCTGGTAATCTTCAAAGTAATGTAGAAGAGCATAACTTGGTGACATTCAGCAATGCCAGTGCTATCCTGACATCAGTATGTGGTATAATATCTGGAACTGTTTATAAATACTTACATATATACTTTTTTGTTAGAAATTAGTGATTCTGACTGCATATTATCCAGTATTTTGCACAGATACTCTGCTTGCCAGACAATACAGGGGCAACTCACACTTTTTGTGAGAATTTATGTCTTTTTGCTTTGGCTGTCAGTGGCACAAATACAATTTACTTGATTCTGTACTTTGAAGAAGCACCAACTGAAATGCTGAACAGCAAGAAAAGTGCCTTTGTCCTGCCAGCCAGGTCACTGGGGTGCAAGGAATTACAGGAGGTGGTATTTGCCACTCATTCTCCACTTGACTGGAATTCCCCAGGCTGTTCCTGCAGACCCCCGCTTGAGCAATGCAGCTGTGGAGCCCTTGTAAAAGGGATGGTTATCTTGGCTAAATATTGGCTATGTCTCTCAGCCTTCTTGCTGACTGTTCAAACTGATTAGGTGGACTGAGTTTGTGTGCTCAGTAAGGAAGGACAGTGAGCTCTGCCACAGGTAGTCATCTAAGAGTGTGTCTGCACAACAGCCTGCGATGCAGCACAGGCGTTCTCAGGCTGGCTCACATATCGGCAAAAGTGTACCTCTGAGCAGCTGAATTCAACATGAAGACTGCAGTGCTTCTCAACAGGTTTGCTTTCATAAGCAAACTTAAAAAGCTGTTTGTGGTAGATCTCCATTATAGTGTGTTCTGAAGTGGAAATAAACCTGGAAATGTAGCCTCATTCCCTGCCTGCAGTTGACAGAGTGACAGAAGCAGCTCCAACAAGTTGTGCAACACTACGTTGTCTTTAAAATATATATATATTACACACTTTTTTCACTTCTGAAGGTGAAGCTTGGTTTCAAGGCAGCAAGTATGTGATCATGCAGTCAGGCCCATCTTTTGCCTTGCACTATTGCCAAAAGGAACATCATTTCTCTTGATTGCCCAGCTGGTCCCAGCCAGGGGCTGTCCTTTCCTTTGTACTGGTACAAATACATGTACAATGCGCAGGTAAAAGGGACTAGGAGAATGATCCAGCTCAAAACTAAAGCTACTTTTAACACAGATTTCCTAGCCTTCACTAAGTATTAGCAGCAACATTTGTGTGTGCGTTGAAACCAAGCCCTCTTCTTTCACTGACAGTACCAGCTTAGACCAGCTTAATATCTGCCGTATGTCAAAGAAATAAAAAAATGGGGGTAGCATCAATTTATCAGAAAAGCATTGTTACCTTGCTCCATAATCCACTGCTCTAGATGAATTGCATCCTTTTCCCCTCCCTTCCCTTCCCTTCAGTGTAGATATTCTTAAACAGAACAGGCTATCAAGTTGCAGAGAAGCAATTGTCTATCTGCATGAATCTCTGTTGTACTGAGGAAGTCTGTGAACTGAGTATTTATCCTCTGGTGTGCTATGGTAATGTTTGAACATGTAATGGGTAAAAGTACAGTCAGAGGCCAAAGCTCATTTCTGACAAAATGAAATTTGTGATACTTGGCCTGTAATGTCTTAAAGAAAAAACTTTACTGTTCTGTGAGAAGAGACATTAATGATGATGAATTTTGTGTATGCAGCATACAGCTCTATGGATTCGGAAGGATCCGCATTTTCTAGAGCTCTTTGCAGGCTGGTTAGAAAACTGGAAGATGACCAGTCTAACAGATTTACTGCAGGATTATCAAACTCCTAATATGGGAGTGTTACAAACCACAAGATTGTTACAGTTTTGATTTATAGCCAGTAAATGCAAACTTTACCTGCTCTTGCAGTGCCGTGCAATCCCTGTTGGGCAGACCCAGCCTGGACCACAAATGAGGGGAAAGTCCTCCCTCAGTCAGGAGTTCCAGAAGGAGAGTTGGCAGACACAGAATAAAAAGAAGTTGAAATTTAGCTAAAATACAAGATTGCTGTACAGTTTGGGAAACTACATCATTTTTTGTGATTCGAGCACCTCTTGATACATGTAGATTGCCAGAATCCCCCACGGCAGTGAAGGGTGCTCTCTGAGCTGCATAGGCAATGTAATTCAATGGTGATGTTTTCCAGAGTAGAAGCTGTAAGAAACAATACTCTAATTGATGAGAAAAGTTGCATTAATTGTTTTCATCAACAAAAAAATGAAGAGAACCTCATACCACCTGATTTGTCAGGCAGAAAACCCAAAGTAGTTGACAGTGTTCTCTTGTATAACACACTGATCTACGGTTCAGATTGCAGCTCTGGAAAAACACTAGGCAAAATCATCAGTGTCCGTAGTGTGTTATTAAAGGCTCATTTCAGACATTTTATGTTTCTTGTATTTATTTCTAGTTGCTCATGGAGTAGTCCTTAAAGACTCTTTTAAGTGGGATGTGATGGAAGCAGGCACTGGAGCAGGGCAGGAGGCAGAGGAGAAGTTCCCAGCAGGGTTTTCGCAGCCGGTGCGGGGCTGTGTATGAAACAGAATTACCAATGAAGGAGGCAGGTGTGAAGGGGAAACCAGAGCAAAAGCTCTTCTATAAATCCTTTGGGAAGGGGTTCTTTGGGGACTGGTGTGAAGAAGAGTTGTTGAAACAGATGGATTGCAAAATGGTCAGAATCCTCAGTGTGGTACCAGAAAACATTGCACCGACGGCTTGAGGAGGCACACACAGCACATGGAGTTATAACTTGCTGTTTATCAAACATAGTGTAAGCTATAAGGCATAAAGATGTGAGGGTATAGGCATAGCTAAGTGTCTTTTTTTAAAGGGGTATTGTTTGTGATTAATCAGTGTTTTCTGCCTTATAGGCCTGCCTCGTCCCCTCAACTTTCACACGATGATACTCATTCACGCATTGAACATTATGCTAGCAGGTATGAGACCAGCTGGATGTTAGGCAGATCTTTCTCTAAACAATCATCTGAAAAAAAAAAAAAAAAAAAAAAAAAATCCCAAAGGCTAGCTGCTCCCTGAGCGCTTCCTAAAGAAACACAGGGTTTGGGGTTTTGCTTTCCAGGCTCTGGGTGCAGAGCGTCAGTTGTGGTTACTGCTAACCAGCCTGTCAACTAACTTGCATGACAGAGCACCTGTGTGGTCAAAAGTGGCCTTTAGGTCCTGTGGGGTCTTCATTAAGCTGTGAGCTCAGATTACCAACTTGTTAGTAGTGCCTGTGCGATACAACAAGGGGTAATGGCTGTAGACTGGAAGAGGGTAGATTTAGATTAGATATTAGGAAGAAATTCTTCACTGTGAGAGTGGTCAGACACTGGATCAGGTTGCCCAGAGAAGTTGTGGATGCCCCTCCCTGGAAGTGTTCAAGGCCAGGTTGGATGAGGCTTTGAGCAACCTGGTCTAGTGGAAGGTGTCCCTGCTGATGGCAGGAGGTTGGACTAGATGATCTTTAAGGTCCCTTCCAACCCTAACCTTTCTGTGATTATATGATTTTACATAGAGTTTTGTTCTTAATACAGACCCTGGTGTAATTGTACAAATAAAAAGAGCAGAAACCTCCAAACTCTATATGAATCTCATATGCTGTTTTAATGTTAAGTAATTCACCTTGTGGAATACTGCAAACAGGATTTTTCCTTGATTTGGAGGATTAAAATAATGATATATCACTGCTTTAGTTCACTTGTCTGCTTTCATACTACTCTTAAGACTCAAAAAGTAGGTTAATTGCACAAATATGAAATGTGCAATTTTTCCACCAGGCAAGCAAATTTGCAAGGGCTGAGGTAATGAAAAATAGTTATTCCAATCTCCTCCAAAATCACTTATCAGGAGAGATATTTATGAATCATGCAGGACATTTAGGAGGGGCTAAGTGTTGAAAACCAATGAGAAATGACTGATTGTTAGCAGTTCTGATGATGAAATTGCCAGGTACAAAGAAATTTGTGTAATCCTCTGGCATCTTAAAGCTTTTCTTTGATTGTAGACTCATAGCACCATGAGGAGTGGAATATAACCTCAGAGAAAGGGTTGAAAACTTAAAAGTGAGTTTAGCCAGGTCATTGTAACACATAAACAATCCTTTGCGATAGCTTATTGCAAAACTTTATGGTAATCAACAGTGATTGTAAATTAATTTGAGTTTCAGATTGATCAAAAACATCATGCTCTTTAATTCTTTCAGGAATGTTAGAACAAATAAAGTTTCTGGAAAACATAATTGATTTTAATGGGTCTTGTTTATTTTTCCATAGGCTAGCAGAAATGGAGAACACCAATGGTTCTTATCTAAATGACAGTATTTCACCTAATGAGAGCATGTAAGTAAGCTGGTTTAATATTTTTGGCATGTTTTCTTGTGGAGGTTAATGACTTGTAATTAAATTCCGTAGTGCTGAATTTGTGTGACCAGGTACTACATCTGCTTCAGTTTAATGATGAACTTATGTTCTTTCAATTTGTATCATAGTGTCTAGATTTATGGTTTATAGCCAAAATTATATCAAATTTATACAACAGAAAATTGATACTTTCAAAATTACAATTACTAATTTCTTCCAAAAAATTACTGATTTGTTTAGCAGTAGTTCCATATTACTTGGAAAAAATGCTCATCACCTGATATGTTTTAAGGACAAAGATAAAAAAAATAACCCTTCTATCTGAACTGCAAGCTTAATCATGGTTAAATTGCTATAAGCTAGAAAATGTTGTGGGTAAAGTGTCATTCAAAAGGTTAGTGGGGATAAACAGAAATCTTTGGTCTACAAATACCTGAAATACATTGCAAATGTAAGCCAAGAAGGACTGATCCTCACCATGAAATATTAGAAGTAGTAAACTTTAAGTTGGACAGATCTCTGACAAGCATTGATTGTGCTTCTTTAAATGTAAAGTCATAGATTAAAGTTTTAATTTTTAAAAAGTAGTGCAGTCTAATGTCACATCGAGACCTTTTTGTGGTTTTCTAGCATGATAATATATTTCTCCTCGCGTATGATTTTCTTGATCTTGCTTAGGATGAAAGGACTTAGAGCCACAAAACTAACTGTGAGTAATGTTTCTGAAAACAAGATAGAAGCACATAAGTAAGTCATTGTCGTGCTTGAAAATTTGGTCTTAGTTAATCAATGGTGTAGAAGAAGCCATAGCACAGATTCTGAATCAGTCAAATGTCAAAAAACTCAAATCCCAACTTTTTTCTAAAAGAGGATTTTTGGTTTGTTTTGGTTTGTTTTTTTTTTCTAATGTACAAAATCTCATCCTTACCATAGTTTAAGGGGTGGATATTTTTGAAAATTCAGGCAGAATCTCCTTTTTATTAAATTTGTAGCACTCCTTTAAAGTACAGTATTCTAGCCAGTAGTCATTCAAATTGAGATTCCAAATTGTTAGTATTTTTTAAGGTTGGTTGTGAGCCTGTGAGATGTAATAAAGCTGTGTCTTTTTTTTGAAATAGTTTCTGGTTTGACTTGGTAGGACTGTTATCTACCAGTTTTGAAAGAAAATCCCCAGTACAATCAAATACTTTGTGTTAATATATTGGTTCAAAAAGGAAGAAGTTAAAATGACACCTCAAAATTAAAATGTCAGTATAATTTCACGCAGTTGATTAAAACTTTGTTTCCAAGTTGTATGTTAATTTATATTGTTATGGATAGCAATAATGCTATAACAGATGGAATTTCCTTTTATCCCCACTGAAATATTTCAGTTTCCTTAGTCACGAAATCGTGCATAAGCAGGACCTTTTGTATTACACTTTGATCTTACTGTTCAATTCACTCTTTGGTTAATTTAAAGTTGCATTAATATGATTCAGTTAATAAGTTAACCACTGACTATCCAGTATTTCATTCAGTTTGTTTTATTATAATTATAATAAATCTGTACATTCTGAATTTTGGAGGAATTGGGATCCAGATATAAATTGCAGCAAAATCAAAGCTGACCATGAATTTGCAACTGTAGTTCTTTCAGGTTTTTTGTTCCGGTTTTGCTTAAGTATTATTTGTTGACATTCTTAAGGGGTTTGGATTATTTGGGTTATAATTGCAATTCGAGCAGTAGATGGAGACAAGGAAGGAGTATATATGTGTATATGCCACAAAACATTTAGATGTGTAGTGTCATTGCAATTATATATACAAAATATATGCAGGCTGAAAATCACACAAAAAGAGTATGTCTTGCAAAGTGAAATTATATTGCAGTATGTCACTCACCTAATTCACTTAAGGTGTGTAAGGTGATTTATAAATGCAAAGCAATTGTTTGATGGAATCGCTTGTGTACATCACTTGTAATTTTTTTAAAAAAATCAATTAAAAATATAGTAATTTAATTAGATTAGGTCAATGTTTTTTACTTTTCCTCTTTTCCAATTTTATAGAGAAAACTAGATAAATAGAGGACACCTTTATTACATAAGGAGAGTTTGTAGGTATAAAAATAAATTCCTTGCCTTTGCTTGAATGACCCTTTTGCAACATAGATAAGGCAGCAGAAAATAGCCTTTTTTCTCAAACAAATTCCTAATTGAATTTAGGCAAAAGAGGAAAGCTGAGTTTGTCAGCTGTGGCAAAACTTGGCTTTAAGTGTCTGAGAAGCAGAGGGAACGAGAGGTGGACTCTGCAGAGAGGGAAAATTATCAAAGACTAAGTGAAACAGTTCAGCAGATTTGCTTTAAGGTACATTGCTGTTCGTTACAAAGAGTTCAGCAAATTTCTTTGTAAGAAATGGGAGACTGGGAGTGAATCATCTCCTCATATTCACTGTGAAGTTACAAATGAGGAAGGGAACAGCCCGTTTTATCCTCCTCTGTTTTCCAGCGACGATGAACACTTGTTAATCCAGCACTACTGCCAAAGTCTGAACCAGGAGTCCCCCCTGAGCCAGCCCCGAAGCCCTGCCCAGATTCTGATTTCTCTGGAGAGTGAGGAAAGAGGGGAACTGGAGAGAATCCTCGCAGACCTGGAGGAGGAAAACAGGTGGGTTATGCCACCAGCTGCTGTAGCCCTGAGGCACACATTGCAGGGGCGAGCGGAAGCTTTCTCTCTATAAGTGATGGAACTGACATCCTGCCGTCATTAACTTGTTCCCACTTCCAGTGCGATGATGAGTCAGCGCTGTTTCTTCCACAAAACGTGCAAAGTGACAAGCATCAGACATACATGGGTCACCTAATTCTCATGGTGCCACCTGTGACAAGCTTTGCTGGCTGTTTTTCATAATATTTCCTTCTGTTCTCCTGTTTCTTTCATTTCCATTATAGTAATGAGCTTCATACCAGTATTACTTTATTTTACCATTTTGTGAGGGAAGGAAAGGTGTGCATATTTCTGCACCCCTGTCTGGAAAAGCCAGTCAGAGGTTCTTGGAAAGACAGACTTTTCTGAAAAAAGGTTGGTCATTAGGATACGTGAGGTTTTGAAATTATCTGAATTCATTTGAAGTAAAGAATGTGTGAAATAATTGTACTGTACAGTTAGATGGAGTTCACTTTGATAGCATTTTTATGGATAAAATGAGTTATAAAGTTGCATTTTCTTCTGACAAATGAGTACTTTCATAATGGTTAAAAGTTGGGTCCTCTTTTCTTTCTATTTGTTTGGTGTTGGTTGTTGCCATTTCTTTAGCCTTTCAGTACTTAGCACTTTAAATTTAAAGTTTATTTGAAGTTATCTTAATTAATCACAAAAAACCTCACAACTGGATTCTTGCAGCATCACAACACTGCAGTTCGCTTTCTGTGGTATTCTGAAGTCTTGGGCCATCAGCATAAAAACTGGTAGATCTTGACCCTAGCAGATTTGTAATTGCAACCATGAAGTACCAAAATCAGACTGTAACATAGAAATCATTTAGGTCTACAAAAAAACTGGTTTTGTTTGCCTTCTGCTATCTTCAGCTTTTATGGTACAATCTGTTGGCATTTCCATGCTCTTATTTCTTGCTTTAAGAGCTAGGTACTTTTGTTTACATTGAGGGTTTAATGCAGTAGTCATTTACCGTAGGCATGTCAAGGAAACGATGCAAGAGTTGGCAGTGTCGTAGATCTTCTCTCCATGCATAAGTCTCCTTTGGCTGGTACTAATCAATTACAGTGGCACCATCACACCATTTTTATCAAGAGGATTTGGGAGAACATAGGGGATCAGTAGACATCAGGGATGAGGACAGTGTTTCACGCAGAAAACTCTGGTAAACAAAGCTCTTGCTCACTGGACAGCAGTGAGATTTTATTTGAAACAACCCCCAAACTTCCTACTACATAGCATGTAAAGCTCAAGTACTTTCCAAAGTGGAGGAAAATCAGTATTTTGAAATAAGCCATCATAATTTGCCTTTTCAGGACTTCTGTAAATAGCTAAAAAGGCTAAAAAAGATCCTTTTCAGGGTTTATGCCTTAAATTTCAGTATAAGCTTTATTTAACATAACAACTGCTAATGAGGAATAGCATGTTAAAAGATCTCTGACAGAATTTACACCTTAAAAATACCTGTTTTGAAGTTTGCCAATTCTGGATTAAACAAGAGCTGTGGACTGTAAGCTTGGTTATAGCCTGTTTTTTTCTCATTTGTACTACTGGAAGCACAATTATGCACGGGATGCCACAACAAGCAACCCCGCCTTTTGTGGATGCTTCAGGTCTCAGTGCAGCAGGGACAGAGGTCTGCTTCTGTAGGACAGTGTGGAGGTCACGCTGTTGTGATTTTCATTGATTATGACAAAATCGTGACTTTTGTCTCAGCAAATCAATATAACTAAATTGTACTTAAAATGTGAGGTGAATGCCCAAAACCAAGCAAGTTCTTGTTGTTCTGGTAGCTTGTCATGGCCAGATAACTACGATTTTATGGAGGGAACACTGATTCCTGTTTAGAAAAATAAGCCGTTCAGGTGGGGTCAGTCAGGAGGCATTCATAGAACTTATCTACTTTAATAAACAGTCTTGTCCCTTTAGATTTCTATTTTCTAGTCTTTCTCCCTCCTCCTTTGGTTTATGCAAACCTTTTCTGGCTGTTGCCAAAGATAGTCAACAACCTGGGACCTAATTCCTTGTGTGAACCCGGTTCCAGTGGGTGAACACACATTCCTTCCCATGCTGATCCTAAAAATGCCTTCTGAGCAAACGTCGTTTATTGCCGCAGCATGAAGGCTCAGTGAATCTGTTGCTTGGAAATGAGATGGACATGATGCAAATCACGTTGTGACTGCCCAGTCCTCAGCTCAGCCTTAAAGCACCTGAATTGTTTCATCTCCCTTGTAAATACCGCGGGTCTTGTTGCCAGAGCGCATCTCCTTGCTGGTGCTGAGCTGGATGTGGTGCTGACGCCTGGGAAGGCAAGTGGCTGGGCAGTGTTAGATAAACCTTCATCCTTTCCCACGTGCGCCGACACAACTTCTGTTGTATACGCTTCTGATGATTTTTGACAATGAAGATATAGCTCTCTCTGCTGTGTCTTCTTATTATTTTATGGTTACCTTCTCAGCAGCTCTTGGGAAAGCTGCATAAAGTACCAACTACCATATTCAAAACACTTCACTGACATTTCTCTTTTTCTTCTGCTCTCCACAGTTTCCTGCTTTTCAAAAAAAGCCCTTCTCTTTTTTGCTTCATCTCTTTTGAGTTTTTTACTGAATACTGGCCTCCATTTGTTTTTTAGCTGCAGTTTCTGATCTCCAAATATTTCCATCTTGACTTGTTACTTAAACGAAAAAGACTCTTTGAAATTGTAATTCTGGGGTTTTGCTTCTGGACAGTTTAAAAAGATCTGTTGCCTATTTTGAATTCTTCTGAAAACTAAAACTAACCCAGCTGTGACACAGTTCTGACTGGGTTTTTTTTTTTTTTCAGTTCCAAGGACCTCTTGTTAGATATTCATTATTTATCTACTAGCAGACCTCGGTGCTTTTGTGGCTTGCAAATATGACTTCCTTAAATAATTTATGACTAAAATTTGACTGTTAAATAATTTATATTTTTTAAAATGTGAGCATTTTAGAGAATATTTTCAATCGGTGAAAATGTTTCATTTGAGTATTAGGCCCTCGGACTTGAGCTCAGTTTTACACTGCATGGAATATTGTGATGACTGTTTCTTATGTATTCAATAGTCATAAAGTAATCTTGCTATGGAAGGCACTATTACTATGTTGCAATATAGGAGAAAAACCAAATTATAAAATTGCCCCAAAAATATTTTGATTCGTCCTTAAGAATTAATGTATTTCAGAAACAGAGAAGACAGATCTTCTTTGATGGTGTCCACCTAAATCAGTACATTACATAGGTACATACTGTAGGATAGGTTATACTGACTCAGATGTGCTATACTTGCATTAGGTAGAAAGCATACAGTTTTGCAGTGATAGAGACTCAGAATGCAAAGAATTAAAATAGTTTCCTGCTATTTTAATGACTAAAGAAAGTGAACATTTCCTAATTTTTAGTTGAATCAAGATCACTGACATGCTTCTGTAAAAGGGAGACTTCTCGCGTTCTCGTTTTCATCCCAGCTCATAGCTGTACTGTAACAAGAACTTAGTAAATGAGATCTCCAGCCAGAGCTATTTGCCTTTTCTTTGCTTTCCCCACTTGCGCTGGGAGTGCAGTGGGCTCCTGGAGAATCACTAATACCCCAAATCTCAAAGCTGCTCTGTTTCTGTGCATCTATGGTGTTCCTTCAAATCTGAAGACTGATGAATGGCCTCCTCAAATAGGTTCCTTCTGTATCATTGCCAGTAGTGAGGAAGTGATGCATTTCTAAACATGCCATGGCTCCTTTTGGTATTTATTTTGGCACTGAAGAAGTGGAACTGGATCTTCTGAGTGTGAAGCATTCTAAGTAAACGCTGCCACTCAAGTGAGGGACAGGGGAGGGTGGTTTAGTTACCAGCTTTGTCGGTTTCTTCAAACCACTGATTTTCTGCAGGGAGATGAAAAATAACACGAATTCACAAATTCTTAATTGCCTCCGAGAGGACTACTCAGCAATTAGGGTCCACTAGGATTTCTGTCACCAGTGATAGATGTGATTAATAACTCTTGAGCTTTTTACTACCCAGCTCTCTACAATTGCATAAATCAAGGTTACATTGCATGCTGCTTCTGTTATTTTTCTTCATGAAAGCTTCAAAGTGGTACAAGCACAGTAAATGGAATATATGGTGTTTTTCTTTTGACTGTTTCTCTTACTGAAGTAAAATATATTTTTCCAGTGATGTAGCAGCTTGCTTTTTTTGTGACAGCCAGATGTAAAAGTCACTCAGCCTGAGCTGTGGTGGAGTGAGGCTGGGTTTCCCAGTACTACTCATGCTTGCTCAGTTGCATTAATTTAGAGAGGTTTATGCTTTTATCTCCCCTTTCTCTTACGTCTTGTTTTATGCTGAAAATGTCAGAGAGTGGCTTTCCTTGAGACAGAGGCTTTACACTGAGGGCTGTGGGCGGTGCCTTGAATGCCTGACTTGCAGTAGCAATCCTTTATCACTGCACAGCTCAAAACTATTCGAGGTAGGAATAAGAGCTGATTGTTCTCTTCTGTAGGATATTCTTACAACAGGTTTGGAATTCTTTCTTTCTTTTTAAATTTTCATTAATTTTTCTCCTGTGTTAATGCAAATCATCATTCCTGTATGTTTAAATCCTAATCATTATGATATTATTGATTGTCTGCACTCCACATCACTCTTATGGCTCTGAAAGCAGTTGCTCTGATGAGTCCCAGTTCTCTGGACTAAGGACAGTGTAGCTGGACTGATAAGGTGCAGCTGGAAAACTCAGTGACACAGGTGCACTGAGCAAATTCATGTGTGACCTTCAATGTGACATTCCTTTGTCCCACAATATTACTGTATTTCATTACAGAACTCACAAATTCAGACGTATCTGAATCAGATGCAATATGCTTTACAAAATATTTTTTTTTTCTGTAGGCTTTCAGAAAGAGTTTTTAACTATTTTGTGTTGGTCATGAAGGCATTTTTATCTGAATTACTCCCTGGTCCTCACTTGTTTTTCAATACCATAGTTACTGAAGGACTTCTCTATATTGATAGTTGAGGCAATAATTGTAGATTTCTTTGTAGCAAGGTACCTGATTGTGTTGTCAGTATGACCAAGTAAATTTAATTAGTTTCCCTTTAGGGTGATGTTTTATCTTTTACTGTACTGCACTTCCAACTTTGGAGTCTGCTGTTTGTAGATTATTGCCTGTATCATACATCTGGGAAATTCCTCATGGAGTAGCGATAGCCACTTTGTGAAAAAACAGTTTAATGATCAGTCATAAAAACTTCAGTCTGCAATAAGACTTTGTGTGATACTGTTGTCATTCTCATTCCTACCCCCTTTTGTATTTTTATTAATTATTCACCAGTTCATTCAGCTAGAAGTATCAGAAGACATTAAGTCATGTGGAAGGCAACACCCAGTATAGCGCTTCTTTCTTTCTTCCACATAATTTTCATGGACTTGAAACTATATTTCCTAAAAGCAAAAAACTTTCTTTGAAAAAACCTGTCTCATTTGACACAAATTAACTGAGATTTATAGCAGCTTCTTGATTTGTCTTCCAAAGGTTTTTCTAGTTTTGCAATTATGTAGGGTGCATTTTTTTCCTTCAAGAACTTGTCAGCCCCTTTCACATGGAGTTGGATTTTTAGCTAATAGGAGAATGACAAAAGAATTGAAAAATATTATGTATAACAGCTGCTATAAGACTCCCTGTAGCCTCTGTCATCCCCTCTTTCTGTGGCCTTTAAAGAAAGAAGTCTTGAATTTTGGGACAATTTGAAGTTAAGAACGATCAACCCTTTATTTTAACTTTTTAAAACTTCTGCAGAGGAGGGATCATTTAGGTCAGACATCCCTTAGGGATCAGGTTCTGGCAGGGCGCCACAGGTTAGGACATGTCCATCATGCAGCTGCTGAGGGGCACAAGTACGTTTGAAGAACAGTCAATAGCCTGTCTTTGTCCTTGGCACTCCTTCTTATCCATTTGAAGTGATGCAAACTGCTTTAGTTCTTGTTCTGGTAACAATAATGTACCTTTAGAAGAGTTTCAGACCTTAATAAAGTTTATCGGGAGGTTTTTGAGGTGCTATTAAGCCTCCAGAGCAAACTGTCAGTGTGTATTGTGGTTTGCAGGCAGAACTGGCAAAAAGTGACTGTTCTCACAACCTCAAATTAGAATGAGTTGGGAAAAATAAAATCTGGGTCACTGCTTGTGATGAGTAAGCAGTTACCAGAGCATCAAGCCATTTTTCCCCACTCTGGGAAGCTGTAAAGGAACATCATAGCAACAAAATCCCAGTGCAGTTTATTAGGCCTCCCTTGCCTACAAAGTTTCCGTTACTATTTTTGCATTGTTCAGCTGTATTATCCCTAACAAGGTTTCAGTTTCTTCCCTTCTGTGCTCTTCCTGCTTGGCAGATTTTTTCTCATGTGGACCACTACACATGATATTAATCTGTGGAGTGTTTTATTGGAGTAAAACTGGAGTTTTACAGAATAAAAGAACAAGCTTAGCAGTCTCATAAAGTTACAGTAGACTGCAGCACTGTAGACAGGGCAGTCCAAAGAAAGTGGAAATTACAACCTGACAAGTTAGTGAAGTGCAATTTAACAGATTGTCTCACTAATTTGTCTTCTCCTCATTTTAGGTTGATAATTTTAGAGCTAGGCTGGAAATGCAGTTGCAAATATGAAGAGAGGAGAATGATACGACCTGACTGACGACAGCAGAGTTGCAAATGAACCCTCAAGTTCTGTGTTTTGGTCTGATTTTTTGTGTGGCTGCCTTTCTATCTTAGCTTTCTCATCTGTAAAACAGATAGGCCGGCCAGGTGGCGTCCGCTTTGATTAGTGTTTGTAAAGTGCTTAGCACTAATTACTCCTCGAGTGTATTTGTGCGTGGAAGCGAACAGGCAGTACGACTTCTGCTGGGAAGGATAAAACGCAGGAAGCCAAGGGAGGGCTGAGCCCAGGACAGACTGTACCCAAGCTTCAGGAAGGTGTCTGGAGCCCATCCAGCCTTCTGCGTTGTGTGTGCTGGAAGGGAATTAATTTTGACTTCTGGTGACACAGAGGGCCTTTAGGCAACACTTATGTGGCGGGTCCCTATAATATCAGCTCGCTGTGAATCTAGGTGTAAGCATACAGAGATGTGGATTCAGCAGAATGAAAGGCAGGCGGTGCAGTGAGCCTCTGCCCCCAGCAGACACGTCACACCACACTGGAGGAGGGATGCCCCATGCCAAGGATAGCCTGCACCAGCCTGTCTGGCTTCATAAAGCTTTTTCCTCCTTCTTACTTTTCAACAGGAACTTGCAAGCAGAGTACGACCGTTTGAAGCAACAGCATGACCACAAAGGACTGTCTCCACTGCCATCCCCGCCGGAGATGATGCCGGTTTCTCCGCAGAGCCCCCGGGATGCTGAGCTCATTGCAGAAGCCAAGCTGCTTCGCCAGCACAAGGGCCGCCTGGAGGCCAGAATGCAGATTCTGGAGGATCACAACAAACAGCTGGAGTCACAGCTGCACAGACTGAGGCAGCTGCTGGAGCAGGTGAGTCCTCAGGCCTTTCTTCTAGATCTCTCTAGAGCCATTTTCCAAACAGGGTGTGAAGTGTTATCAATGACAAAAACATACCAAGAAATCTGATCTGTGGAGGCTAGTCAGAGAAAAATATTAAATTGTTCTACAGGCTGCAAGTGAGAAGGTGAAATCATGTTTTGGTATTCTTATTTAATCTTCTTCCTTGTTTTGTTCAGAATTCAAATCCATTGTTTGCATAGATATATTTACTTAAAAACAGACAGGAAATTGTATGTATTCATAACATAAATAAAAAATACAGAGACCTCAAGATCTGTGCAACTGTACTGAGCTGTTCATAACAATCTCTTCTTTTTTTTTCTTTAATTTTCAGCCGCAGGCAGATGCCAAGGTGAACGGTACAACACTATCATCTCCTTCTACCTCTTTGCAGAGGTCAGACAGCAGTCAGCCCATGCTTCTTCGTGTAGTTGGCAGCCAGACTTCAGAAACCATGGGTAAGATAGCAAAGTTCAGATTTTCATAAAAAACGTAGTCGAGCAAAAAAAATCCTTAAAGACAGAAAATACTCTGCTCTCCTGTTTTGTTCAAATGAGAATGAAGTAGACATTTGCAATGGTCTTTGATGTCATCTGGCTGTTTACACTTGACGTGTCCATTATGGTTCAGGCTTTTGCTTTTGATCATGATGCACACGCTAGCATGGATATTTTGACATTAAACACAAAGCTCAGCCAGGGCTTGACTTTTGAAAACAAATATCACTAAAAACCTAGCTATTTTATTCAATAGACTTTCAGCTATTAAGCATGACATAGCTGATTTAAATATACATAGTATTAATTATGGCTAAGAGATTAAATGTTTGATTAATTATTGTCCCACATTATGATGTGATCTTATTTTTAATGTCATGGCTCAATCAGTAGGATTGAGCTGTCACTCACAGGCAGTGCTCATCTTTTCTAAATATCACATCAGATGTGATAATGAACATCATAGGAGCTGTGAAGTAAGGTTAAGTAATAATATTCTATAGCTTGAGGCTGGAATTATTATTTTGTTGATTTTAGTAACTGCTCTGTAACATTTTCCTAATTTCCTATCTGTTATATAATTGGTAAGTATTTATTACCAAGTAGTAAGGATTTTCTTCTAGTAAAAAAGCAATCAACCATTGCAGCATCTTTAAGCAAATGTGCTTAAATTACTTCAGCAAGATAATATTTGAAGTCTGATGATAATACTCAGCTTCATACACATAAATTTGTTTAGCATATATTAGAGAGAGGCTTTAGGGGAGAGTGAGAGGCTTAAATGAGAGCTTTTCTCTTCACTGCTGTTTGGGGAAGAGTCAATGATAGGGAGAAAAGGAACGGGAGGGGACATTCTCCTGTGTCTGAAATGCCATCGTAGTGGGAGATGCATCTTGTTTGGGGGCTTTTTCTTCCACCTCAAGCATAGGCAATAATGTCAGTCTGTGCTACTCTCAAAGACTGGTTCTGTACGCTCTACAACAAAAAAAAGTGAAATAAATTGTACCTTTAGGAATGCTTAAGTTAAAGCCTGGGAGTGAGAGTACAGTTACAGGTAACAGCAGTTTCAATTTGGATCTTTGTGAGTAAATATTTTGCAACAGAGTAGACAAAATGTATTGGTGGACCAACTTGCATCAGCTTTCTGAAGAAATGTAATGAATTTCATCACATAAAATATGTTAATTAAAATACACAAGAAAAGATAGGAAGACAGTGGTTCCCACCCATCTTATTAAAAGTCTTGTAGTTTCATATTTTATTCTTTAGTAGGACAAAATACAATAATGTAATTCTTTTTGTATGACTTGATATAAAATTATTCCTATTTAACTTGTGAGGCTGGAATTAATTAATTAACACACAAATAATAATATAAACAGCTAAAACTTACTTAAAGCGAATATTTAGACACAAATTGGTTTTTTTGTTTGTTTGATTGAGCCAGTATGTGGCAGGACAGTGAGATGCTGAATCGTTATCGGTATGATCATGTTGAGATTCAGCAAAGCAACACTGTTGGCAGCAGGGAGTGGAGCTTATAAAAAGAATTACTAACCGAGCTAACAAACCGCAGCTAATTCAGTTTGTCGAGTCTCCTTTCACACCAGAAAGCTTTGCTTGCTAGTCTGAGAGTTTTCTGAAGTGCAATTTAAAGTACTTTTGAATTGTGAAGGGAACCAGAGCGGTGTTGTAAACAATGCTCCCATGCATCAAGCATATGCCCAGTAATGAGGGAGTCATCATTTTCAAGAAAAGAGTGAGGACCTCTAGGTCTCTCAGGCAATGAGGTAATGTAGTGATCACTCATATATTTTTCTTTTTGAAAGGAGACCTTATTTTTTTTCTTTGAATCTAGACACACTGCACTTCTCTGTCTCTGCTTTCTCAAGAAGAAATTATTGTAAAAAGTTTTCCACTGACAGTGTTATCCAGCCATTTGGCAAAAGCAGCAACCCAGTCAGATCCTAATTTACAAATAGAAGAGCTCACCCCTTGATAACCTGAAATATAGCTGGGCAAGTAGAAAGGTTCTGCTTTTCTTCTGAGAGTCCTAATGGAAAAGTCTTGATCTTTGGCCTTTGTCCCCCAGTAATGTTGCACCAGAGGAGGTTTTCTGAGGCATGTGAGTCAGGAGCTGAACTTTAATTCATTCAGGTACCACCAGATATTTGAGACCCACCCAGTTCTCCAGGCCTTTTCTAGAAACACAAATGGGAAAATTACCCCTCTTGGGGTAAAGAGGGGTAATTGAGGTCTGAAGGTGTCTTTACTTTTGTTGGGTTGCTTGGCTGATGTCTTATTTTGTCATTTACAAAGAAAAGCCATCCAATGAGAAAAAATAAAAATAATGCATTTTAAATAAAATATACAACAGTCTTGAGGGTCAACACAGTTCAGTTTCTATCAGTGCTTACCAGGACATTTGGAAATCAGTACCTGTCCTCAGTTCTTCTCAACCAGGGCAACAGAACCACTGCCCTCTTTCTTTCAATCTTTAGGGACAGGTGGCTTTCTGCAGGCACACTGATAAGGTCCTCATCCTGGGTAGAAACGGCAAGATCTCACTCTGAGTTGTCACCTTGACATCCAACAGGGACTGGAAGGACATTAATTCTGCTATGGCACCTCTGTCAGTGCAGCACTTGGTGTGAAAATAACTCATGGTGTGAGTTGATTTGTGTGAACCCAGCACCAGTCAAAAGCTGAACAAGCTGCAAACAGCTTCAGCAGCTATTTTTAGACCATTAATGGAATAAGAGAAGCTGATATGAAGACCATCACTTATATGAATTAAGTGCTTCTTGAGGACATTTTACCTTACTTCTTGTACTGGAATGTAAAAAATTACTCTTCATCAGTAATAACTCTTGTGAAACTCCTGTCCTTAAGGCTAGGCCAACACTAAGCCTAATAATAGGGAATATATACCACCTTGAAGTGTTCCTTTAGCATCTCTTCTAGTAGGCTTTCCAGTAGCGTGGAGCAAGCACCTCAATGTTTAAAGAATTTAAATGCTAACAGAAAATCAGGCAGTATTATTCAAGGTGAGTAGGGCAATAAGGCTGGAGCACCTCTCCTATGAGGACAGACTGAAAGAGTTGGGGCTGTTCAGCCTGGAGAAGAGAAGACTCTGGGGAGACCTTCTAGCGGCCTTCCAGTACCTGAAGGGGCTACAAGAAAGCTGGGGAGGGACTTTTTACAAGAGCAGCTAGTGAGAGAACAAGGGGAAATGGGTTTAAGCTGGAAGAGGATAGGTTTAGATTAGATATTAGGAAGAAATTATTTCCTGTGAGGGTGGTGAGACACTGGAAGAGGTTGCCCAGAGAAGCTGTGGATGCCCCCTCCCTGGAAGTATTGAAGGCCAGGTTGGATGAGGCTTTGAGCAGCCTGGTCTAGTGGAAGGTGTCCCTGCTGATGGCAGAGGGGGGTTGGAACTAGATGATCTTTAAGGTCCCTTCCAACCCAAACCATTCTATGATTCTATGACATATTAGAATAAAGGATCATGAAATGATTTTTCAAAATAAGGATGTACATCTGGTGGTTACTACAACAGGCAAAACTGCTTTTGTGTTTTAATAGGGATAAAAGAAAATAAATCCAGTAAAAAAGGAGAATCTCACTCAAAGTATATCTTTTAGGTGTATTGTTTTCTAAGATGCTTTATTTGTAGTAGAGGCTAGGGTCTACAGTAAAATCAACGTATGGATTTTAGTTATCTGAAACCATGATCAAAAAAAAACTCAATAAAAATAAAATGTATTGAATTTCCCATTAAGCTGCTGCCCTATAATCAGGTTATATAAATTATTCAGTGGGAGAAATGTATTTTGCTCTATTAAACTGCTGCTAAACCCTTTTACAGTACAATTGAATGTTCTTGGAGCGCCAATCTGATGCAATTAAACTGTCAGAAATATTAATACCGATGCAGATGAGAATCTGGGTTTCTACTGATTTACGCAGCTAGGCAAAGCAGTGCTAACATGAATCCAGCACTATTAGAAAGCTGCTCAATAGCAGCACTCACAACAGCAATTTATTTTGGCATTAGTAGAATAAAAGAAGCTGAAACAGTGACTGTCATTTGTAGAACTAAATGTTCCTACTAGCAGACATTTTACCCCACTTCTTTTACCAGAGAAGATTGTTTCTTAAATCCATTTTTATAAATTAAAGTCAGTGTTAGTTTTTTAAAATTAATTGTTTAATTTCACTTAGATCTTTTTTTTTAAAAAAAAAAAAGAGAGAAACATAGTAGTCAACTAAATTCACCTCTAAAATTTTGATTGTGTACTAAGCAGAAAATGTGTTTAAGTGAACAGCCATTGCTTCATGAAGGACATACGCAATCACAAGCTGTTAGCAAATGGTTTTACAGTGGCTCTCATGCAGTGGTGTGGATTTGCTTTCCAGGTGAGGATGAGCTGCTCAGCCCTCCCCAGGACACAAGCACAGGTTTGGAGGAAGTGATGGAGCAGCTGAACAACTCCTTCCCCAGCGCCAGAGGTGAGCGCTGCTGCCCATAGCAGATGAGAGGGAAGAAGATAAAAGTGCTTTCTGTTCCTTGATATTTTCAGGGGGTTGTGTTTTGGTTTCAGCTTTTTTGCTGCTCTTTTTTTTTCTTTTTAACAAAACTAAACCTGTAGAAACCTGTCTTATTTAGAGTGGAGAAGCAGCCTGCTCCTCCTTTACCTTAACCTTCCTCCACAGGTAGCCCTTGCTAGATAAGTGGGTGAAACAATGTCTGTCTGAGACTCTTTTTTTCCTGAGCATTTTCTTCTCTTCCCTTTTGACATGTTCCTTTTCTCACAGCTTCTCTCCTTTTTAGTCATTCTCCTTGCTGATTTATTTTTAATACATGTTAGAACATTTTGCTTCTGTCCTTACCTTTCTCCAAGAAGAATCTGGTTCAAAATAATATTAAAGCTCTCAGTGAAAGTTCTTGACCTTGTAGCACTTGGGTCCATAGTGATGGAGGAATAACAAGTAGGCTGCTTGTTTGTGCAGCGTAGTGTACAGCCACAGAATTTCAGTGTTACTGTTTTGCTCATTCCTGTTGTTTGCTAAAGATAAGCATTTGTATTACTGGGATTTATTTGTTCAGCCTTTTTTCATTTAAGGTGGTCTTTTCTGAGCCCAGAGAAAATACACTGCTGCCAAGAAAAATGGCTTCAATTCCTAGCAGGAGATGGGAAGTTTGGGATATTGCCTGTTGCTGTGAAGGAAGGCTCAGACATAAACCTCTTGGCGAAAGAAAGTCCCAGTGTCTATTGACAGCCTGGATTAAGTGGATTTCAGTAGGGCATAGACTTACCGCAGAGCCCCTTGCACAGGTTTCACACATCACCCGGAGGTTCTCCTTTAGTACATAAATGTGTTAACCATCATGACAGACTTTTAGTGAAGTCAAGTTTTCTTCACCCTTTGGTTTCAAAGCAAGCTCAGCTCTCACTAGGCATCATTTGTGAGCAGTGAAAAAGGAGAAGGCAGAATAAACTGCATAAGATTTCTTGCTATAGATCAAAAGATGGGATCGTTTAGAAAGATACTATTGAAGAAAATCTGATACAATACATTGTTCCCCACATTCATCTCCACCTCAACATTATATGAAAAAGTCTTATGTCCAGCCTTCATTTTGCCTAGATATTAGTTATTAGAGAAAATAGATGAAAAATCTTTCAAATATCGGTATGTAGAGAAAAAAATGGTCTTATTTTTAAAGTTGCTGTGTACACAAGGTTGCAACAGACAGTGCTTTCTTATCAGTGACCATCACTTGTGTAAATATGCTGTGTTTAGGAGATCTTGCATAATTGTTTGTGTCTAGACGTAGATACCCCATGTGTTAAAATATTCACCAAATGTGGTATCTAATTTGTAATCATAGCTGATTACACTGATGAAACAGTGTTTCTTTTTAAAAACAAGCTTATTTTTAAGTAAAATAGGAGCAATTTATGAAACAACAGTTAATGAGATATTTGAAACACAGCAGTTAATTTCCTGTGTATAAATAGATAGAGATCGGTTTGTTAGGTATCACTCCCTACTGACTGGGAATAGAAAAGGCTTTTAATTTTATTTTATTAGTGAAAAGTACAAAGCTTCATGAATCAAACTGACAGAATATAAAGTTTAGTGGGGAAAAAAATATATTAAATTGGTAACATCAGTTAATATTTTAATTCCATAAGTTAAGCTATAACTTCACATTTTCATTCTGGTGATGCAAAATTTGATCATTTAAATACAGAGAAATAATGTATTCCCTTATTTTGTTTCTTCATTCTGTAACTATGTTAAAAGTGTAGTATGTGATCACAAGCATCCCTAAAAGAGATTGAAGCTTCTATACTTTCTTGCCTATCAGCCGTAGAGGACAAAAATACTCTCTAGCTGCATGGAGAGCTGCAAGTGAGGAGGAAGCACAGTCTTTGACATGTGTCTTCTGTCCTCCTCAGCCAAGCCATGAGAGGAGCTTCTGGTGCAGCAGCCAGGAGCAGGCACAGGCCGTCAGACAGAGTCAAGCTTCCCACGGGACTTTTCTTCTGGGCCTGACCAAGGCACTGTCAGGCTGAGTCAGAATCTGCCTCTTCCTCTCTCTTTGGCTACACAAAAAGATTAGTCCAACTGGGAGAAAAAGTTGTTCACTTTTTGGAGAATTGTATCAGGTTTTGGCTAAAGAGATTAAGACCTTGATTAGGTTTCTCTGTTCTTCCTGTATCTTTTGATGCATTTGCACAGATGCCAGGTTTCTATAATTGCTTTTGGTTGAGGAATAGGAATAGTCGGGTGCTCTGTGAGAAATAGTTTGTCCTACAACCAGTGCAAATTGATTTCCAGTCACTGGTTGACGTAGAAGGCTACTGACATTGTCGATTTTGCTGAGATCTCATGTGAACTTCAGTTATTGGAGTTTTCTTCTACCCTCCTTTCAATGATTAAATGATATTCAACTGAGAGCTGTATAAATAAAGCTTACATTCACAGCTAATTTGCCTCAGCCTCATGTAGACCTTAATTATGAGAGGAGGGATGCTGTGGTCAGTCAGATTCATGGGTGTCAGGATATGACTTAAAATTTGCAAGACCAGAGGAAGGAGAAAAGGAAGCAGCATTGACTGATCTCAACACACCATTGAATCAGGGGCCTTTTTGCTGTTGAAATGCAAATCTGTATCTCAGGTTTCCAATCTGTAATAAAAGATCAAAGTGTAATTGATCAGAGTGAAATAAGTTTGATAAAGCAGCCCGAGAAGAGTGCACAGTGTAAGGATTCAGACACGATGCAGGTAATGTTTTATTTCTTTGCATTACAGGTTGCATTGAATCTTAAGCTATTTGTAAGTATTCAGGAAACAGAACAATAAGCCCAAACAAGCGATGAGCACAGATCTATAAAGAATACATTTTCTTAAAGTAATTCTTATTAAGTAACTCTTATTTTAGAATTACAAAATTGTCAGATGCAAGAAGCTCTGTCATCCCAGTTTGGCATTCAGAAGTGTGTTGTGATATAGGAACTTATGAAACATTATTTGAAAAGTGAATTCAAACTTCTTCAGTAAAGTGGCACCATAAGTGATGCATACTATCTTTAGGAAATAAAACTAGAAGGAAGATGGATTAAATGCCCAAGACTGACTAGCACTAGAAGTAGGTTTGTTTATTTCTATACTAATGCTGCAGAAGGAGAAGTCTGCTATGATATTCATAGGCCATGCAATTCCAGAACAGCTGCAGAGGACACAAGGCACTCAGCAAAACCTGCCTAGATTGAAAGTGAGGATAACAAAATGAAATCCAGGAAAGGACAAACATCTGTACAAATAACCTGAATTTTATACATGGAATCAGATGAGGAAATCTAGGGATGTATCAAAAGGCCTGCAAAGTTACTGGTAGGACATTAAATGTGGGTTTCCTTTATGGCCTGTGGAAATGAGCATGTTAAATTTCAAGCTAAATGTCCAGTCCAGCATGTCACAGCATAGGGAGTGATATGTCTTTTGAATCAGAGAGATAATTGTGGGTATCATGTAGTCATTGCGGTAACAACAACTTGGAGGAGTGCAGAACAATGTGACAAGAGCGAACTGGAGCCCTGAAGGCTTTGGTTCATGAGAAAAGTTCAGAGCTGAATAAGCAGTGAAGAGAGAAAAGGACTGAATTTCTGTGCTTGGGTGCACAGGTGTATAGTTGAACATCACATGATACAAATTAAGAACAAAATATTTAATAAAAATATCATTGGAAGCATCTGCAGAGTAAGATTTCCTCAGGTTGGGAAATGGTTTTCTAAAGCAAGTAGTAGCTCTTACTTTGAACTTCTGAAACAAAGCAGTAAAATGTAGTATGTAATACTAATTAATTGTCACTCACTTGGAGATAGATTCTTTTTGATTAAAATATTTTCCAAGTTTTTGCTGCATAAAGTTGTTTTTGAAAGGGCATCAAGGCTTCATAGCATCATTTGGAATGTATTTTAGAGAAGCATGTGTTGAATCGTGTCGTAGACCTTCATAAGTCGATCTCAGGTGCGATGACTTGTATTAACTATATACCTTTTATAGGTTTTTTTTGTTTCTTCAGTTTAACCTTTCGGCAGTTCTTGGCATTTCCTAATGGGCAGAGGACCTCTGTGCTCCTCGCATAGCTGACTGTTGGTGCCAAAAGCTGTTTCATTTCTGGAGAGGGAAATTCTGCTGAATACCTGATGATTGCTGTCCTTAAGGAGTTTTTCTTTCCTTTTAATCTACAAGGTTTCCCATCCATTCCTCTTTTACTTTGCAGCTCCCAGCAAATTCGCAACTGCTGCAGCTGCTTCAAACAGCTGCTGTGCTAACTCAAAACAGATGTCAAAGCCAGAGGTCTGACATTTAGTGGAAATCTACCATTAAATACCACCTCAGTGGTTTGTTTGACCCTGAGCCACAAAGGAAAACATTTTTATGCTGTATTTGTGCCCAGCCTACTAAATCTCTGGGGCATTGTTTCATGGTTAGAAAGTAAGATTGGCAGGCCAATATTTGTAAAGCCAAGTTCATCTCTCCTGCAGCACTGGGGACAAAGAAGTTACACCACGTCAGGTGGATCTCATGGTGGACCAGGCTGTGTTTTGTGGTTATGGTTTTGTGGCAAATGCTTTCTATGAATAAAGGTCAGACAGGAATTTAGGGGCAGAAGTTTTTCAGCTAACTGAAGTTGGTGAGAGATCTTCCCAGACTTCCCTTGCAGAGCCCTTGCTGGTGGAGTATGAGGAAGTGGGAGCCAAGAAGTGGTTAGAAGTGAGACCATGATGGTTTAAAAGAGCTAAGAGGCCATGACATCACATGAAAACGTGGAGAGGGATCAGTACTCACCGTTACTATTTAACATAGTATTGCTTAATACAGATGTTGTCTTATGCAGTGAAAATTCAAGACCCCACAGCAATAAATAAATGGCACTAAGAATAGCACTATCTTTTGCAAGTTTTATTTTACCTCAGTCACATAAAAATA